TTATCTGCAGGGTATTGCTAATGGGAATGGTGCTCTTTAGAAAAGAGAAGAGGGTTGATCTATTGGCGAATCTCCAAGTGATTTGCCATACAGAGCAAAGGTTTCCAACTCCCAATGGTTTTACAGTAGAGATGACAAACATCCATTTTTCCTCCTCATTTAGTCAAAGCTTGGGGGAAAACAAAAGTGGATTTGTGTGTGAGTGCCATTTCTAGTACTGAAAACAAATTCCTTGGGTAAGCATGTGCCCAAAGGCACCTCGGTCTGTAAATCTGTGCATACTTTATACAGCTTTTATTCTTCACCTGGTTCCAGTTGGTGGACCTCAAGGTTGTAATGGTATGCCTTAAACCTGCCTGCTCCTGCTTTACAAAATTCAGCTGGACAGATCATGGCCCCAAGGTGTGTATAATTTAAAATTCTGTTACAGGGAAACAACAGAGGAAATTGGGATGATACTACCACAAGTAAAATAATGAATAGACTAACTGAAATAATCTAATTGTTTTAGTTATAATAGGCTATGGGGACTGTAAACATTTGAACTGAATTTCATGCTTCTAGTGCAAAGCGGATGTTTCTATACCTTAATACAGAGATTGGCAAAAAAAAAAAAATAGATCTGCAGATCTTTTGGACTCCAGCACCCAGAAGTTCCTCCAGTGAGGTTGGGAGTTGTAGTCCAGACATCTGGAGATCTATGTACTGCAGCCCCTGGCCTTTTACATCCTTGCCCTTAAAGAAACCTTTAGGTAGAAGGGTGACTTGTTGTTAAACAGGGCAACAGAATAGCCACAAATTTCTCTATGAAAGCTAGCATAAAGAGCTAAATCCACCGATGGGCTTTTAGAGAATAGGGTCCATAAGTCTAGAGAATGTGGATTGTTCCATGGTGATAAATAATTCCCCTGAAGAAGATTTTTGAAACATTGTGAGACTTCTGTATAAGCCTGGTAACCCTTCCTATCATGCCAGGGTACAAACAGTCTGTTGTGAAAGAACATACACCATGTGAAATTAATAATCAAAGGCTCCTGTGCTTTGAAAGCAGAACCCATAAAGAAAATGCACTCTATTTCATTACTCTGCCAGATTCACCCACTGCTAGCTTATCTGTGTGATTCTCTTGCATCAGCTGAGGGTGGAAACTAAAGGTTTTGCCATGTCTAAAATGGCCCGCTTTTCAAACAAACAAGCATTCATGTTAGTGGCATGCAAGCTGAGCACAGCATCTCGGTATTCAAATGGTTACTAGCAAATAGACCAGTAGGGCTGCTAGGGAGATTGGGTCAAGGAGAAACGTTTTGTACATAAGCTTTAATGAAACTCTAATGCAGTTGGAAGGCACGTGCACTTGGCATTCATGAAAGTGCTATGAATAATCAGATTGACAGTGGAGGCAAAAATGTAGAGCAAAAAATTAAGAGTAAGCTGTGAAATTTTCAAACACCATGGATGTGTAAAGAATAGGGAGGTGGGGCAGCAGTTTCTTTTCTATCACCCAGTTGGAAACATTCTCTCAGTCCTTCTTTCCTAGTTTAGCTCAAGTGTGTCAGCCACAAATGAGTTGGAGGGCTAAATTCTCCCTCTCTCAGAGGGACTTTTTGGGCCTAGTACAAACTTGTAACTTTGGCTTCCGTCCAGCTTCCGTATTTACACCATGGCACCCAACAGGGCTTTTCTTCAGCCTGACCTCTCAATTCACTATTTTTTAAACATAACATTCAGCCTGTGAAGAGTCTTGGCTGTAGCCCTTTTCAGTTGTTATAGGCTCTCCTGACAGGGAGATGCGGAAATGAGCTTGCTGGCTTTGCCCCCTATATTCTCATCGTCCTCCACAGATAACATAGAGGAAAACCACCTGCCTCTTCTGTACAGGGAGACTCTCCACACTATGTAGATTTTCCAAGGTTCCCCGCTGGTGGGTAATGTGAGAGTGTTGGAGTGGGTAGATCCAGCCTGCTCATTCCCATTCCTCCTCCTCATCTCTAGAGTTTACACACTTCTGAATGACTGAGCAGGCTCATTTTGTAACTTTTCACAGGCTGTGAAAACATATTAAGGTGTCTGGGTTTGCCCCCCCCCCCCAATTCAGATGTCCTGGTGCATTTGCAACCATTTTCTTAGTAGAACAATTTACTTTGTAGCTTATTTTTTTCCCTAGGCCTTCTCATTGCAAAATTACAGATTATTTCTTCAATTTTGCCCCAATAGACAAAATGTGTGGCTTATGCACTGTTGTCTCATGTGTGAGTTTTGAGGCGGTGGGGAGAGAAGGAATTAAGCAGAATTCCTTGGGGCTTGTAAACCCTGGCAACAGCCCTGTGTCCCTCTCTCTCTAGCCTGGATCATTATGGTGCTTTGTCACTCTGACCAGCTGTCTCTCCCCCTTACCTACGCAGGAGGAACTGTGGGACTGGCAGTTCTTGAGTGAAAATGGTACAGATGGAGGCACGAATCTCTTGTCTCTCCAATTAAGAAGTCTTAGTTTAACTGCACAAGCACATTGTGTCTCTTCTAGGGAAGAGGCTGGGCCAGCCATTGGCTGTCCAGGATGTTGTTTGCTGTGTTCTAACACTTTCTAATTTGGCTCCAGCAAGCCTAGCAAGATCTGGACAATAGGGACACAGATATGGGGAAATAAGATACCGTAAATATCCTCAAGCACTGTCTCTAATTTAGTGTAATTTCTTATGGGAATGGGATTACAACACAGGCTTGTTCACCTGATTACCAAGCATGGATAAAGTGTGCCCTCCTTGCCCACAATTATTTATATATTTATTTTGCTGTGCCAGCCCACAGCTGACGCTCTCTGAGCCTATCCATGCCGTTATTTTAGTTACCAAAACCTGTACTGCTGTTGACTTGCCGTCTAATCTCAATATGCTCTCCTTCACATTTTGCTTGCCAAAATCCTTCTGGCCAGTACCCTGCTGGCCTCATCTGCCAGCTCTTTCTCTGAGGGTCTGAGCCTCAACCTACCCACAGGCTTCTTACCGTCCAGATAGGCCTTTTTCTGTGCCATTGTTTGCCTTAGAACTTCTTCCTTTTGCCAAAACCATTCTCCTGCCCTGCCAACCTAAGCAATCCTTATCATCTAGCTTTCTCTTTGCACAGACCAAACCCCTATACTTCCCTCACATGACGTTCCACCCTCTTCCCCCTTGGCATAAGCTGGCAAATGCAAGTTCCACCTTCCTTAACTGCCAGTTTAAAGTGGAAGGAGAAGAGCATGCTGTCACTGACCTTGGAAGGGCACACTCCTTCCATTAAGGTGCAGTTTTGAAAAGTTCACAGGAGTTTCTGTGGAACATGGCAGGTGCGCCATGAGAAATATTTGTGGGAAGGGGCAAATAGTCGGGGGTGGGCAAGAAATAGGGGACTGAAAAGAGTGACGAAGGCTAGGATGGGCTGGAACGTGGTGGGTCAGAGTGGGAGGCTTTCCCCCATCACAACTTTTTCCTGACATTTCATGGGCCTTAGTATGATTTTTGTTCTGGTCAAGAGGTTCTAGCAACCTGTGTAAATAGAATTGGTTTGTGTGTGTGTACAATGCTACCATACCAGCAGCTCCGGTATAGCGACTGACAGTCCAGTTTCAAAGTGATGTTGGCTATGTGAAATGTTGCTTTGGTACATTTTTTGAATGCTTAAATCTGGCCTCCCTCTTTTGGGAATGGTTCAGTTAACTATCCCCTTTGAGGGGTCTTTTACCTGAAGCCATATTGGCAGTGGTGGCAGTGAATGTGTTTTGTTTAGAGACAGAACTGGTTTGGCAAGGTTTTGTGTTTATTTCTGTGCTACTGAGGAACAACCCTACTGAAAAACTCTACTGAGGAACAACTTTCCTTTTAGACCTATACCCAGTCTTTTGTAGATTAAGAAAACTCATTCAGTCTGAGGAACTTTATACATTTCATTTAAAAGCCAATTGGTATTTCTGTCTGAGGAACTTCTACTGCCTTTTCTCTGCAAAATGTAGGCAAAATGGCTGACACAAAATATAAAACATAAAAACAATAACTGATCCTTCGAAGACACATATAACAAGCTAAATGAAGCTGCTTTTAAGGTTCAGTTGACCATAAAATAGCAAAAAAAAAAAAAAAAGATGGGGAAAGGCATAGAGGTGGATTTTTTTTATTAACATCTAGTAACTTGCTTCAGCACCTGTTCAAGTCTTGACTTTCACTGCACCTTGACAGTTGTTTACTGTGACACCATAAAAGTTTGTAAACGGGTACTATTGAGATGATAAAGCTGTATCTGTGGTGAAGAAAACACATTCCTTGAACTCACTTGGATGTTAACCTCTTTTCAATAAATTGGGCAGAAGGATTCACTGGGTGGTTTTGCATCTTCCATGGAAAATGTTCTAGAGGATGTTAAAGTGATTTCTGCAGCAGAGATGAGCCAGTTCCCCCTTTGCACGGTGTTTGGGAGCTTAGAAGCAGGATGCATGATTCACTCTATTTCTGCTCTTGTGTAACCAGCAACGTACCTCATTCCCTGGCTTGTCCCAGTAAGAATAAAAAGTGCTGTGTTTTTGTTTTAGTTGAGGTAGATATGCCTGTGGTAAATCCTGTGTCACCTGGTTTTTGTACTTTTAAGCCCAGATTATTTTTGTCTTTTACCTTTTCGAAAAGTTTCCATAGAGTGGGCAAGCTATGTATGCACCTCTTCTGAAACAGTAAGAGCCCACATTTAGTATTCCCAAATATTTGGTTTAGTTCAGCAAAGAGCTTGTGCATGTGTTGCTGCTGCATATTTCACATACTTACTTAGAAGGCATGTGCTTTAGCATAGTCTGAGGTCTTGCAGCGGGCTCCAGTTTCCCTTCACATAGTATGGCCAGCTGCTTAGGCCAGATAATACTTTGTCACCATTTGTGATACATGGCAATGTGTGAGGTAATGGCTTTGTGTGAATGGTCATTTTTTTGTCCTAGTTCTTAAAAAATACAAAGAATGCTCACTTGCGTTTTTCTTGTCCTGTAGCAGCAAGCGGTGCCCTCGAGCACTGGAGGCAGTTGAAGAGAAGGACCAGCGAACAGTGACCATCAATCCTTGTCATATGGGGAAAGCATTCAGAGTAATGAATGAATTAAGGAGGTACTTCTTTGTATTCCGTTTTCATATTCTTGCAATTATTAGCCAGTTGCTAGTTGAAATGGGAGAGACCCACTTTTGCATGCAAATGCTAGAAAAGGAAGCCCAGCACAAGGGTAGCCTTGAAACATGGATGTATGGGTCTCCCAGATCATATGACTACCTCTCATCCCTGAATGGGTTGCTGATGCTGATGTTGAAAGTCTCTATGTTGTTCAGCTCTTTCTCCTTTTTTATTCTTTCTCAGTTTCCTTTTTTATCCCTTCTCAGTTTATTCTTTTGCCTCTTTTTCTTTTCTATACTGTCCGGTTGCTGAAGTTCTCTGGGCAACAGTTGATAAAATAAAATGTATAATAAAAGTATAAATAACAGTTAAATATCATCAGCTTTCACTAAGATTGAAAACCAGATTTTAAGAACTTAAGCCGTGAAGACAAGTCAATACAGCTAGGTCTGCTCAAAGCAGATTATGCACTTGAAGCAGGGCTTCAGATGGGATGTGGTGCAGAAGATAGATGAGGGAAACGCACAAGCTAGAGACAGTAGCAGGTCTTGACGGTTCTGGACACCCCCCACAGTTGCCTCCTCTTTATGTCCTTCCCTCCTACTCAATCTTTGCTTCATGTGTGCTGGATTCTTTCCTTCCCTAAGTCTGGGCTGGGCTGCAGTAGATTTAGTAGCCCAGGAGGAGTGGCGGCACAGCTGGGTGGCATTCCTCTCAGTGCTGGATTTTTCCCTCTCAAGTGGCCCTCCTGGACCAGCAGCCTCAGACAGCAGTGGCAGTGGTCCCTGTTAGATCCTCCGGGCCTGGGGCCCAGCTGTGTTATATGTGGCTATGGGGTCCATAGCACATTTTAACGATAATATTTTTCAACTGGCTTGGAATCCTGCCACTTTCCATACACATGAACACAGCCCACTGATGATTAAGTAGGAAGAAACAATCATATTCTAATCCTTTGTGTTTTCTGCTCTTCACATATGTGCACTGCTGCTTTACAAAAAATGCAAAGAATCCACTCCTACCAGAATCTTCAAAATATTTCCTGAGTAACATAGTCTTATTTTTAGACAAAAATGGTTTTAATGCACTTTTCTGTAGGCACACATCTTCATGTTACCATGATTCTCAACAGAGAGAACTATTTAGTAGCCGGTATTGCAATTTTACCAGTATTATGGCACCTACACCTAATTGGAGAGTAAAATTGCCAGTTTTCTGCTTCATTTCTCTTTGATTGCCAACCCTGCTGCATACCAATTAACATTTTCATATTAGCTAGAAGAGTGCTTCACCATGCCTCCTACCCAATGTGCATGTTTAGATTCCTAGTTATTTTAGAAGAATAATAAGACAAATGCTAAGTATATTCTGTTTTTAAATACCATAAAACTTTGTCTAGTGATACATCACTGCTGCATAACATGACACACTGGAACAGAGATGGATTAAGGACCTGCTTTTACAGAAGGAAGAACTTTGCTTACAGAATGTCCCTTTGCCTGGTTTTGGGGTATCTTCCCCTCCCCCACAACTCACCATGTTCAGCAGAATCTCCCGAGTCTTTTTGTAGCATTTGCAAGAAGCTGGCGGTGTTGCTGTGGGAAAGAGCAGATAGGGAAGTCCATTTCCACCAATGCAGTGGATCCAGTATAAATCTGGATCCATCCCCAGGTGGTGAAGTCTATAAGTAACAACCCTGTGATAAGCAATTACATGTGTGATTGAGATAGGGGTATCTGTCCTCAGCTGTCTGAGTTCATATGTAATCTTTTCCAGAGCAAAATCTGATTCTGTATCTGCCCTGTCTATGCTATATAGAGTTACAGTGAATTTAATCCATAACACTATTATTGGCAGGATGCATTAAGAAGATAGTTGTGGGTATAATATATGTTCCTTGCCATGTGAGGAGATACAGTTATTTGTATACATGCAGGTGTGCATTTCTGTGTAGGTCGTACCAATTTTGCATGATAACACATCAGTTTTAACACACATGATAGGATCATTTGTGAAACATGAAACATTGGCATAGGGAACATTTTCTTTGCGTATGTGCACAGGAACAATTATTTCACTTTTCTGAGCAATGGAAAGTGCCTATTTATAGAGATGTATTCATTAAAGAGTAGTTAAAATGCCATTATTAAATAAAGTAGTGACTTCCTCGTGGCCTTGGGCTGATGGGAGTTGAAGCCAAAAATATCTGGAGGGCACCAGGCTCCAGAAGAAAGTAATTTTTATTTTCAGACATCCTGTTTGCTGAATTGAAAGTGCATATAAAGTGGTAGCATGTCAACTTTTAAAATATTAACAATATTTAATATCGTCATAGGGGAGCTGATCCTTTTAGTTTCTCTTTTCTGTACTTTTTTCCAACTGGACAATACCCTTTCTAAGGATATTTTTAGGTGTGACAATCAGAAATGTATATTGTTTTCCAAGTGTGGTTGCACTGTAGATTTGTATAGAAGGAAGTCAAGAACACCCAGTTTAATGGCACTGCTTGCCAAAATATCTGGCCACAAAAGGACAGTGGGACTTTTCAGATGCTAACTTTATTTTTATTATTATTATTAGATCATTTCTATGCCGCCCCTTGCCGAAGCCTCAGTGTTGCACCATGTTTATCCCCTATAGAAGTGACCTTGAGATCACCAGGGGTGCATGGGGTGCTTTTTGATGGGTGTGTCCCGCAGTGATACTGGAAGGTGGTAAAGCTTGTCTGTCAGCAACCACTTGGGAGTAATCCATGGCCCTTGTTTTGCTCATGTGGCAGTCAGCCTTTAAACAAATTTGAATGCAAGGAAAAGGGGTTCTCACACCATAGTTGTAGTTACAAAAAAGGCACCAAAATTATGTGCAGAAATGCAATACCTGCTTGAGTGCTTCCATGTCTTTTCTGCTAGCACAGAAATGAGGGGACGAGTGTACAGTTGTTTGCGTGCCTAAGCACTTAGCTGCATTGGGATGATATAATATTAGATTATTGCTTTTGTAATTTGAGTGCACTGGGGAATAATGGGAGGGAGAGTGACAGCGCTGCTCTTAGTGGAAGCTAATGGCCTGTCTTATGTACAATGTTCTTCTAAACATACAAGACTACAGCTGCCCTTAAGCCTCTGTTGTCTCTTTCCTTGCAGTGCACGTTGCTAAGATATGCTTTTGGCTTGCACGATTTAGTTCTGTAATCCTTCAGTGGCAGCACCAAGTCAAAAGTATGAATTGGCATCGTTGTGCGAAGGAAGAGGCAACAGTCTTGTGGGTGGCAGCAGTCTTGCATGTTTGGAAGAGCAAATGCACAATACAAAGCCATTAACTTCCACTGAGAGCAACTCCGTCACTCTCTCCCCCATTATCCATGTTGATAGTTCACAGAAGGTCCCAACAAGATCAGTGCCATTGCTGTCTGGTCACGTCCTTTGATATGAGCAAGACAAAGTAAGCCAAGAAAGCTTGGCAGAAGAGAGGTTTCAGGTTTCCCTCCTCAGAACTGCTAACTTCATAAATAGACCCCTTCCTCAGGAGTCCTGTTGTGGGTATATAAGGTCTAGCCGCGGTGTTGTGGACATCCCAGGAAGCTGAAGATGGCTGCGCATGTCCTGGCCTTGGAGGTATTTGTATGGGGAGGAGAGAGAGGAAACTTAAAGCACCATGGAAATTGCTGTGCCACCAATTGCTATGAATAGCACGTACAACCCAAAAAGAAGATGCTCTACTACACCATTCCCATTTGTTTAAAAACAACTTGGAAACTAAGAATGGAATTTTAGTGGTAATAGGACACCTAGACATAATACAGAGAAAAACACTTTTGCAGACACTATAGATCAGAGGTCTCAAACTCGCGGCCCGCAGGCCAATTGCCGGGCCGGGTGGGGCACGGAGCAGGGGCCCTGCGGCCTTCAAAGTGCCGGCGGCACCCAGGCCGGCCTCCGGGAGCAACGCGGGATGAGTGGCCCACCACCACCGCGAGGGTGGGATACTTGATGCGGCCCAGCCTCACTCTACTTCCAGCGGCCCCCAGGTCAGTTGAGTTTGAGACCCCTGCTATAGATAAAAATATCTTCAACTTAATATTTATGAAAATGAGCTATTGTGTTTTCAAAGGGCTGTTCTTTTAATATGTCCAAACACCTTCAGATTTACTTGTATATGGAAATAAGAATCACAAGTCTGTACTTTAAAGTTGAGCTCAAATGTTAGTTAAATTAAAATGAACCGGGTCCTGGAGTTTGTTTAATGCGAATAAGACATTATTAAATAATAAACTCCATCAACTCTTAAGTTTGTAAAAGCAAAAGTTTGCAGGTTTATTATTATTATTTTCTTTACATCATTGTGTATTCCAACTGACAGACTGGCATTTCTTTCATGGCTACCTGTACATAATTAATTTTATTCCCATTGCTTCCTTCACTGTGACATCATCCTGAGATTGTAATTCTCCATATGTCCTTGAATCTAGCAGGCATGGTCTTGCCATGTAGCAGCTCTCCCTGGTCTGGTGCCTTTCAGGTGTTTTAGACTGCAACTGTTAAGTTTTTGCGACCATTGCCTGATGATGCTTGTTGAAGTCTAAAACATTGAGTGTACACCAGATTTTGGAACACAGCTGCACAGAGTTCAGTGGAATACCTGTTGTTTAAATTTATTTGCTAAATCTCATTTGTCAAAAGTTCTGATTATTTCAGTTTGCTGTGTATTTCCCAGATGAAGCTGTGTTACCAGAACTTTTCTGAAAGGAACTCTCCTGTTTATCAGAATACTTTATACAGCCTCAACTTAATTTGGATAAATGAGGGATTGGATTTAATGAGGGATGGCTTTTTCTGCACCTTAAAAGCCCAACACAGCCATTGGCACCTAGGCCATGTATTAGAACAGCATGGAATGATTTTTTAATTTAATTTTTTAAATATTGCTTAAATGGAGGAACTGGTATGAATTAGTGGAATTACTTTCCAAGAGCCACATGTTGATTGAATGAGTAGCGAAGGAGGATAGAAAGAATCTGGCAGTATAAAGTGCATTTCTCTATCAGGTTTACTGATTTGTCCATGGAGACTGATATAAAGACTTGGTTGTCTGCTCAAACTAACAGAAAATGTTCCTTGCAAATTCAAAATAATCCAGAGGTGGACTATGTGGGACTTAAAATATAACTGAAAAAGAAATTTTCCCTTTTAAAAAGGGGCATTGTCTGGCAAACCTAGTACTAGATAATGCAGAGTTTGACCTCTTCATTTCTGCCCATTTTTCTTTAGTCCTTCTTATTAGATTCCCCTCTACCCTATTCTGAGAGGATGGAACAGATCAATGTTTTAAAAACCACAATCATTTCACAAGGTTACTGTGGTTGCTACAGTAATCGTTGAGTTTTTATTTGTTCTTTTCTTGATAGTTCTGTCCAGCAGAAGAGTTGTCAGAAGAAACTTGACCATTTCAGCATTCATATAGATAGCAATGTGGGAACATGTTCTAAAACCCTGATTATTTGTGTATTCACAGTAAGCGGCTTCTGTGTGATGTGGTGATTGTTGCTGAAGATGTTGAGATTGAAGCCCATCGTGTGGTCCTAGCAGCCTGCAGTCCATATTTCTGTGCCATGTTTACAGGTAACCTTGTGTCCCTGAGATCACTATTACTGCTTGATAACAATCTGAAACCAGATACGTTGGGTGCTGCTATTAGTCTCATCTTTGCCTATCCTGAAATGTATATTGCTTGGACAATGACAAACAAACATGAAGCTTATCGTTTCCTATATGACTGGAAATTCACAAACATTTCAGGTAACTTCTGCTGGCTCAGCCAGGAGCATAATCAAGCCAGGTTTGATTGTACTGATGTATCAAAAAGCCGTATAATCTTCATAATGCAAGCTTGGTGCCATTTTTTTGCATTCAGGGTGGCATGATCAGGGCTTGAGTCCATAGGGAATCTGAGGGGTGTTGGGTGGGGATTCAGCCTGTGTATCCCCACCAGCTCCGGTGAAGCCAAAAAGAACGCCTCTTGACTGTAACAGGCTTGAGCAGGCCACATCAAGTCATCTGAAAAGGGTTATAGCTAAGCACGCATAATGATTGATTGAGCAATCCTTCTATATGGTTTAATATAAATTAAATTAAATTTCTAAGTGGTTTGCATATGAATACTAAAAACCACTATTTAAAATGCTCAAAACCATTTCAACTGCATTCACAATATATACACCCTAATTGGAGTACCAACACATGGTAATCATAATTAGATGGCTGCAGCCATCTTCAGCCCATCTTAACTTTTGCTTCTATCTTGTCCTTCCTGTTCTTTTTAACACCCCCCCCACCCACTCTGCATGGGAACAGTAATATATAAACAGGCCCTTACAATTTTCCTTAAAAGAGAACAGAAGAAACACCATGAGGCCAAATGCAGAACCTGGCAGGAATGATTTGCCATTCCTGCCAGGTTCTGGAAATAACATGATATTGACGATATATTACAGGAATAATATATTTTACAACCAATTGTTTGCTTTTCTGATTTAAGGCATAGCTTTTCTCATATCATAATCGTTATTTCCATTTCTAGTAATATAATTGCATTTCTCTTTGCTTAACCCAGTAGCAACCCACAAAATAGTCATGTCTACTCCCCCATCTGGCAAACCACATTTGGGATCAGTAGGGATGGGGATAGTTAAAATAAGAAAAAATCTTCTGTGTTGGTCCTTTGACTTGTGCAAAGCAGCCCTTGGAGACAGGAATGCTCTTGCAGAGTTTATTTAATGCCCGCACTGATACCACCTGCTCAGTTTGATTTCCATGAACCCAAAATAATAGGAAAGATCTAAATTGGGAGCAGCGTGCTAGGCCCTTCTGCATGATACGCCCTGGTACCCACTTTAGATTAAGATGCAGTTGTGGCAACTGAATCAGCATCCTGTATTAACATGGAAGAGAAACGGGGTAGCAAGTCTGGTATGGATGCTGTGCCTCCCTGCAAAGGCTCCCTGATGCTTCTGGATTAATGGGGAAACATTTAAGAGGAGCCTGGGTGGGTGCAAAGCAGTTACACCTGAGAGTGTCCCTATTTCCTCCTCTTTCCCTTTCCAGTTCATTGTCCACTAGGATGGCCAGGATGGGCTTGAGCAGTGAAGGGTTTAAGATGACAGGAGTAGAGGAGCAGAGGAAGGGCCACAGCCCAGTAGTGGCAGCCATGGTTTGATTACGGAAGGACCCAGGTTCAGCGAATGGCATTGCCAGTTGCAGAGATCAGGCAACCACTGATGGAGATAATTTTTCTCTGTGACCTGGAAAGCTCTTTGCGAGTAAGAGGAGACAGTAGAACAAATGCTCCATAGAACAAATAAGGCAGTTTCATATCTTCCTTTCTAATTACCCTACCGTGCAATTAGATGAAGGTAAGGAAAGCAGTGACCTCTCAGTTCAGCAATTTGTCCTTGGACCAGTTTGGTGCCAACCAAGTGGTGGACTTCTGACCTTGAGCCACATAAGAAAGCAAGTGTGGCCGAATGCTTAGGATGTTGGACTAGGACTCGGGAGATTCAGGGTCTAGCTTCCACTTGGCCATGGATCTCACTGAGTCAGTTTCAGAGGCCAGTCAGTGGCTCTCAGCCTAACCAACCTCACAGGATGATCAGATGGAGAGGAGAATTAAGTACCTTGCAGGATAGTATTTTTAATAAGTAAAACTAACAGAACAAATAGCAGTGGAAGTGATACAGCTGACTTCATGAAATGTAGAATTGAGCTTTCAAGTGCAGTGGATCCAACACAGAGCGACTGAGGCATTGTACGAATGCTTTAAGTACAGAAATAGCTCAAAGAGTCTGGCCTGAAATCATCTCCCTCTCTCTCTCTTTCTAGCACTTGTGCAGAAGAGCCAGTACAAATAAATGCTGTGTGAGCTCAGACGCCCACCCTCAAGCTGCTTCCTCTATGGGCTTGTGTAGTTATAAAGATCTCAAAATTTTCCATGCACTCAGAGGGCCAACTGCAGCTTCTTTGCTGCAGTTCATACCCCCTTCATCCAGCATCATATGCATTCCTGTTATGTGAGCACACCGTATGTAGCTTAATACTGGGACAGGCTTCAGCTGCTGTTATACCTCCTTTCTGTTTAAGCTATCTTTCCAGTTTTAAAGCTATCCCAGGTAAATACAATTTACCTCATGGGAAAGATGGGGACTTTGTCCTTTCCTTAAATACATGCTAAAGTCCAGCAGTAGTGAAAACAGTAGCTGGTATTGAACTATTCTGTGAATTCTCTGTTCTACCACTGTTTACTGACTAGACTCATTGCTGTAGAGTTAAGATGTTGGTTGTGCTCGACTGTCTCTAGATCACTGCAGTGTTTTACCACTAATTTCTGGGTTTTTATTTACAGAAGCAGATGATTCATTCTCGTTGTCTTAAAAAGTTTACTCAAACAAATAAGGATTATGTTTTCATTGGTTTCCAAATAGTATGTGCCGTGTTTCTAAACAAGTTTTTTTTCTTATTGATGTTCCTATTTATTTAGTGGTTCCTCTTTTCTGTTGCTCTGTTTTCAACTCTCCAAAACTGGGGTGGGGTGGAATTGAGTGGAAAAGTTAATTTTACGAATTAAAACACCAGCTCCATCATCATTCAGCACATAAACTAACAGAACTTCAGAGGTATCCTAGTATGATTTCTTCTGAAACATACTGAAACATAAATGGTAATTCAAAATGCACCTCTTCAAAACTGCTAGTATTAAAACCTGTCAAATTACAGAACAAACTTAGTATATGGCAATGTGAAAACCATGGTGGTGGTGGGGAAGCAGGGAAAATAAACTATTCCTTAAAAGATTACTCTAGCCATGGAACTTGGTTGCTTGGAGAAATATCTTTGCAACTCTTCATCACTTGCCATGTACCAATAAGGAAGCCTTACTACTTGATAAAGACTCAGGGTTTACCACACATCAGAATGTGTGGCAGGGAAAAAAACATTCTCTGTATGTTTTACAAACATGGATAACCAAGGAACCATATAAGTTGGCCCATCCCAAGTTGGCCTGAAATGGTCTTCTAAGCACTTTGGCCCCACTGGTACTAGCTGAAATAGTATCAATTAAATGGTGCCAAATAGAGAAATACTTGCACTTGCTGCTCACTTTGTTTTCTTGGTGCAGAGTTTAGTGTGTGATGTATTCAACCCTGGTTGGGTCCAGCAGGATGCATAATAGAGAGCATCTTGGCTACAAAATTAAGCCATTTGGAAGTATTTAGGGAATATGGGATGACAAACAGGTCTTGTTTACCCATACTGTTAGAGGTACCAGAATGCCTAGATCAGCTTTCCTTCAGCTTCCTGAAGCCTTGACTGAGGCTGATGGGAATTGTACTAATTGTACAGATCTGGGAAAACTAGCCTAGATAATCATGCAGTCAGGAAAATTGGATAGCTACATATGTCTAGTTAGACCAACATGGACTGTATTAGGAATTCAGATACATGGAGATCTGATTACTAATTTAGTTTATTGTAATGGCGTTTGAGGTTAAGGGAGAGCGAGACTGTGTGTGCGTCTATAAAGCACTGTAGCAACATTTTTGTGGTCCTGAACTAGGTAAAAATTTAGAAAATGTGTAGGAAGCATTTTTTCAAAGCTTAGAAATGAAAGGATTTCTCCTCCATGGTTGAGCAAAGGAAGCTTCTGTCAGTAAATATAATGGGAAGGTTCTTGTTTCAGAGAAGACAGGAAGGTAGTGAGTTGAAGCTTAGATTAATTGCAGAAACATCACAGAATTCATAAATGGTGTAACTACAGGTTCCATGATCCTCATTCCTCTAGAATGGCCTTTGGATGGCCCTAACAGAGAATCATGTAGAGGTCAATATATGAAGTGCTTGGCGATTTATTGGGCAGAGGGTCTTATCTCCTCTATCCTAGTTAAATTGATAATTTGAGACTGAAAGACCTAGGCATTTCCTTCCAAATTTGGCTTGTCTCAGTTACAAACCATTTAGAGCCTGGTTCACCCCCAGTTATGTCAGGAGAGTGACAGTGTTTGCTCCCCTCCGTCCACCCCATATTGGCCTGACTCCTCCTTCCCATTCCTACGCTCCCCTTCCTGCCTGCCTGCTGTTGCTTCCTGTTCAAGCATTAATAGCAGGAAGCAGGGGAAGTCTCTCTTCTACTCCCCTTTGGTAGCTGACAGACTGCTGTAACGGCCAGCTAGTTGCCCGGAATGGAGGGGCTGTGGGAGAGGATACCTCCTTTCTTCCTGAGAAACAGCAGGAAACAAGATAAGCGGGGGAGGGGGAGAGGAGGGCACATGGTTGAGGGGAGGCAAGCAGGTTGGAGGGGACAGTTGGTTTCTTCCGTCGTGTGATTCTGGGGTGGGCTTCTTGTGGCCCTCCATGGGAATTGGCCTGCAACTCCCATGATCTGTCACCATTGCACACTCCTGGTTTAGATTAAAGTCCGAGGTGGAGAAAAACTCTCAGGTCTGTAGGCTTGTTTCCAATACAAAATGAACATTGCAAAGCTTGGAGATTTCTAAACCAGGAATTGTGAAACTTGGAAGCATCAGTAGTTATCAGTAGTCAGAGAAAGAAATTTTGATTTACAGCTTCTATCATGCTACCTCTTGTTCTTTGCTCCTCCTGTAGGGAATAAAAGCCACCCAACAATGTAGGGGATCTATACAATTTGTGGAACACAAACATATTTTGGTCTTACACTGGCTTCCTCTTTTGGAGACTATATGTCAAGGAGTACAGATATCAAAAAGATTTCCAGTGGGACATAATACCACAAAATAAATGCATGAAATTTTAAGATAACCACAATTACCATGTTATTTTCTCTAGTGGTGAAGTTTTCTTCCAAGGAGCAGAAATTCTGCTGAGGGAGTGCAGTGAAATTCACCTCTTCACATTTGCTTCTTTTAAGAATGTAGAAAAGGGGACAAAAAACAAAGAGTATGAACTGATATAGAGTAGGAGCAACTGTTATTCATGGTCCTTACTATTAGGGCACATTCCTGGCTGGGGAATGCTGGGAACTGTAGGTCTTTTTTTTTTTTTTAACTAAACTTGCATAGCATGGCATTTTTAAGAGTGAACATGTTGCTCTCCCTGGCACCTGCAGTAAGTAGTTCTTTCAGTCCCACACCACAGATCTTTTCACTTGCCAAAATGTATTTTCAAATTAGTTTTGGAAGCAGCACTTTAAGACTTGGCCCCGGAATAATGGTGTTTGTGCTTTTGAGTATTCTAAAATAGCTGGTATTTCGTGTGTTTTTGAAGAAGATGGGTAGAATTGACCAATGCACAAAAGAATTTAAAGGGAGAAATAAAAAATAATGATTTAAAATTATTCTTAAAATTTGATTTCAGGAGATATGACAGAAAGCAAAGCAAAGAAAATTGAGATCAAAGACGTTGATGGGCAAACCTTAAGTAAGCTGATTGATTATATCTACACAGCAGAAATTGAAGTCACAGAAGAGAATGTTCAGGTGAGAACTTAAAAGATTCTTTTTGGTGGTAGCCTTTTTCTTGTGGAGTTTCATCAAGCTTCCTTTATTAATCAAGCTTCTAAGCAGGATTTAAAAACATTTTTGTATTTATGATAGTTTTTTCCTGCTGGTCTTGTACATTGTTTTTTTCTGGATTTAGAAAACATTTGAGTTCTTCTGTTTTTGTTCATTTATGGAGCAACCTCATGAATGTCTGCTCAGAAGTATGTTCCATTGAGTTCACTGGGGCTTACATGTAAATAGTTATAAGATGCAGTCTTATCCAAAATTCCTTATAACATTTTGATTCTTCAAGTTTGGACTTTAAAAAATGCCTTAAATCTTAAAGGCTACACTGTAGCAAAAATTAAAAGATTTATCCTGGGCAAATCACTATCTTTATAATCATTTCATCCACCAAAATACTTACTTATTAAATTATTTTAGATTCTGAGTTTTAGCCCTAAGCGTTTGCTTATATAAGAAACCAAAATAGCATGCAACTTCCTTCTGCTGGTGCCTGGTATCATGTGAGGCCTCCACTTGTTGCCAGTTGTTTTCTGGATGCTGTTCATGGTGTTTAAATGTTCATATTCAAAGGGTTCAGTCCCATAACCTTCTGATATTGTATAGGTGGGGGCCACATTCTTCTTCTAGAGTTCTTCTGAGGTCCTGTAATCTCAAAGCTGGTACTCAAAAGGCATGGAAAGAACCACACTGACTGCCTTTCCAGGGTGGCCACTGGGCCTTGGAGAGGTTGAAAGGGGGGTGTTATCAGGACAGGGAGGGGAGGAGGAGGCTGGGTTTGATGGTCAGTTCCTGTCAGTGCCCCACCACCTCTCCTCTCCCTCTGCCTCCTCCAAGGAAAAGGGCTTCCTAGAGAAGTTATATCACATATGGTGCTGCAGTGCAGAAATTGCTGCTTTGCTGAATGTGCACTGGGTGAACATAAGCCACCGAGTCTGGAGGTGCAGGCTTATCTAAGACAGAGGTTGCTAGACCCCTGCATGGTTCAGGGCTAGGCTTTCTATGGGACCAACTCTCTCTGATTCTCCCCTGCTTCTCAGACAGATCTGTTCCACCTGCTGCCACCTGGGATCCATTTTAAGGTTGAGCCTGAGATCTTCGACATGCAACTCATGTCCTCCGTTTGCTGTGGCTATTGAACCTTGACAGTCTTCATCACAGGGCATTGCTGTGCATTTTAAAAATACATAATGCACATTATAAGTGGCAAACACAAAACCTGAACAGAAATCAAAGGGAAATTTCATTTTAGTTTACTGAAAGGGCTGGAAAGAAACAGGATTCAAGGTCTAGCCACTGCTGCTGGGAATTAGGGCACATAATTTGCTTTTGCCAGTCCTAGGTCCGACCTTCAGTTAAAAGGGTCACATAGAATTTGATGCAAGCAACCTCTGCTTAAAACCCTGGAGGACAGCTGCCAGTCAGTGCAGACAGCACAGCATCAGTGGTTTGATGCAGACCTGTACTTTGATGTAGCATGAAGCAGCTCCTTGTGTTGTCCTGCATTTTGGAGTGTATGTTCGTGGAACGTATGACAGATAGCACCTTGGAGGTTTTTTCCTTTCTCATAAACTTGCCTAGGCAAGCTCTAGTCAGTTACTCTGTTACAGGGGAAATGAGAAGTCTAGAACTCGGTGAATGGGCCCATCAGTGGGCAAGTTCCTTAAGCTAATTTACATTGCCTATTTCTCACCCTTTCCAATGATATCTAATAGGCAAACAGTGATATGGGAACCTTTTCATGTTAAATTCTTACTTTTACTCATTCGTTTTCACTCCTTTATTTTATTACATATATTCTGAGTTCTGTGGCATCTACTCAGTTCACAGTTTTGCCTTTAATATCCTGAAACTACTGTAGGAAAAATACTGTACCATTCAGAACTCACTTCTGCTAAGGAATGGTTACTCCAAAAAGGAAATGATTTGTACAACTTTTATCAGTGAAGTCATTTTAGGAAGTCCATTGAACTAGACAGCTGTGGGAAAGAGGAGGCAAAACAGTGTCATTTGAACCAGGAATGGTTTGAAGAAGGCTCACAATTGCACGTAGCTCTTCAAGCCTAACTCAGGCCTATTACTGCTTGGACCATTTCTGCCACTCATGGAATTATTTGGATGGCATTCAGCCTTGACAAAACACCAGCAGAATAGTCCCCCCTCCCCCCACCAAAGGATCATTCTTGACCCCAAGAAAGATTTGTGGATTGAAGCTTGTGCTGTGGGTGGGTGTAGCAATCCCTGGCTAGATTTAAGTACACATGATTCAGTGCGAGGCTCTCCAGTGTCATCTGTAACAAACGCAAACTTCCTAAGAATATAAGAAGAGCATTGCTGGATCAGCGCAAACGTCCATCTAGTACAGCATTCTGCCCACACAGAGTCCAACCAACTGCCTGTGGGAAGGCCATAAACGTGATTTGAGTGCAATGGCAACCTCCTGCCCATGATCCCCAGCAACTAGTGTGCCTCTGATGCTAGGGGCAGCATATCCGGATTAGTAGCCACTTATAGTTTTGTCCTCCATGAATTTACCTAATCTCTGCTTGCAGCTAGCCAGGTTGGTATCCGTCTTGCAGAAATAATTTTCATAGTTTAACTATGCATTGTGTATTTCCTTTTATCTATCCTGAATTTTATATCAGCTTCATGGGATGACTCCAGGTTCTGATATTATTTGGGAGGAGGGAAAATGTCTCCTCATCCATTTTCCTCATAGAGGAGTTGCTTCTGCTTCTTGTTTGTGTCAATTGGCCTTTTCAGCAGTTTTCTCAGACTTACAAGCTCCTTTTTTGTTAGCTCCAGTGACCAGAACACTATTCTAAGTGTTGTTGCACTGTAAGTTTGCATAATGGGAGTATGATATTGGCAGTTTTATATTCAGTACCTTTCCTAATTATGTTCAACATGAAGTTTGCCTTTTTCATAGCAGCTGCACAGTGAGCTGTCATTTTCATTAACCTGTTCAACCCAACCCCAAGATCTATTTCTTGGCTACTTGGTGAAATCTCAGATCCGTCAGCTTATACTTGAAGTTGATAGTTTTTGTTCCAGTGTTTTTCCCTTGTGCATTTGCTCAGCAGTTTTTCTAGGCTACAGATAGAACCAGTCCATTATACTGAAGTTGGTTATAGAGATAATGGTTCATTTATTACTTTCAAATTAATATTATAATTGCTTTTGATCTAAGGGTAGAATAATGCATTTCACACACATTCATTCATTTCACATTTCCTTGGGAAAAGCAATTTCAGGAGGAGGTAATGAGCCCAATCTCTCCTCCAGATCATCCCCTCCCGTAAACTGCTTTTCCTCATAGGATTGTTGAATTTTGTTGATTTGTATATCTCTGTGCATGCATGTGTTCATGCACGCTTATTATGTAGATATGTTATTAGAAAATAAACTTCCATGTTTTCTCTCAAAATGAACTTCAGGAACAATATAAGCAACCAGGGACAAATGACTTGTGTTTGAATAAAAAGCAGAAATTCCTCTGTATTTTGATGGAGCTAAGATTTTGCCCTTGTTCTGTCAACAGGCTGAGAGTTTTCCTGACATTATTACTGAAGGAAATGGTCTGTTGGTGAATGGATTTCCTGAGCATTGGTGTTGTTTTCTGTATTTGAGGCACACAGTTGAAAGATCCTATGGATTCACTCATCAGAAATCTATATATTTGAAAAATTGGATAATGATACCACTTGCCTTCTAAGTATTTTAGTGGAAACATGGTAGGCCAGTGCCACTTTGGCTGGCGTAGTGGTAGCCAGTGCTTTGTGGTTTAAAGCAAATGTCCCTAACCAAGTTTTAAAATTCGGTTACTGCAGAAATTGTGGAATTGGGTGGTGCAGAGTAGGGATATATGGATTTTTAAAACTATGTTACATCTGCAGTTCACTGATTGTCAGGCATCATTGTTCCTACATCCTCGCATTGATGGAATCAGTATTTTTTGGAAGAGAATTTCATTCTCCCCAACTGCATTCTCTTCATTCTCTCTGCTACACTAATGTAGTATTACTTGCATTAATTCTCATGCCTGGTAATGCAAATTTGCACAGCTTTCCCCAAGGGTAGAGTCACATATGTACAAATACCCCACAAAAATCCACACTTTTACTCTAGAGCCTATGCAGGGTGTGGGGGTGATGTGCATTCTTGGTTGGCATTTTTACCCCCATGTTTGTGTATGACTAAATCTGCATACAAGCCTGAAAATGTTTAAAATACCCAAGTCTATAGAATCCATACAACTTGAGTAAAATAGGTATGCTGGAGAGAGTTGTAGCCCTAAACAGAAAAAGTATACCAGCCTGGGGTAAGTTGATAGAAAACATAATTTTCTTCTACACCAGATCTCTGGTTACATGGTGGCTTGCATTCCTTGTTGGCAGGCAAAATAGCTTACCTCATTCATATAGTAATCTGGACTTATTTAAATCTTGGGGATTTCATCAAGATTTCTTTGCTCTACAAAGGTCTGGCTTCAGAGAAACAAATTAATAACAATTAGCATTTATATAACACCTCAGAATGTTGGAATCACTTCAGCCATTTTTATGATACATTTTTAAGTTATATCAGTAAAATCTTATAAGGGTGAGTGGGTGGGTGAAGGGGGAACTAAGCAATAATAGTCTGATTCAAACACCACAACCAAACCATGGTTTGGAAATTGGCACCATGCCTCATGCTTGAAAGCACTTCTTCCCTTGCATTTTGACTGGCAATAACTACATTTGCCATTACCTCAGAACAGGGCAAACTTTGGTTTACTACAGAATCACCTTCCCCAGCCTGATGCCTCCATTTGTTTTGGATTTCAGTTTCCATCAGCCCCAGTGAGCCTTGCTAATGCCTATGTATGATGGAAATTGTAATCCAAAACAATGGAAAGGGTAAGGCTGGAGTTAAGCTGTTAGAGAACATAGTTTTTATCCAAAACAGGATAGAAAACGCAATTCAAATAGTGACTTCCATTCCTTGCTTGGATACAAACTGTGACTGTAGCTTACCTGATTCAGATGTCACAGCAAACTGTCTCTGTCAGAAACCGGGAAGTCATTGAAGGAATCAGAATGCTTACGACTGGGGTCCTCAAACTTTTCCACCAGGGGGCCAGTTGAAAGCTGCCAGTGCTGGGCGTGGGCCGGAAAGGTGGTGCCGGCGGTGCAAACCACTGCTTCCCCGTGCGTGGGCCGAGGTAGGCAGCGGAGGGCGTGCTCGTGGGCATGAGTGCATGCATGGCAGGTCCAAATGGACATGGCAGGCTGGATCTGGCCCGGGCCATAGTTTGAGGACCATGGCTTAAGAGGAGCAGGGAGTGTACAAGCTGGAGACATTGCCTGGATGGTGAAACTTGGTTCTGACTATTTTCTTAATTCATATATTTATATTTACATCTATCTGTCTGTCTATCTAACCCCCTTTTTTCTCCAAGGAACTAAAGGTGGCTCACATGATTCCACTTCTCTCCATTTTTAACTGCGCAGCAATCCCAGTGAGCTTCATGACTGAGTGGGGACTAGAACCTGCATCTCCTGGATTCCCAGTCCAACACTCTTGACAACTATACTACTGAATACAGTTGTATAATGTTTAGGTGGATTTCCCCTTACTGGGAACAATGGAATAAGTTTTGCTTAACTTCGAATTCCATCATTTTGAAGAAATAAAAGGCACTGAAATGATTTCTGAGATTCTTGCTGAAAAAAACCCATTATTTCCGTTTGCTGGCTTAAGTTAATCAGTTCTAGAAATCAAAGTATTAGGGCACGGAGACTCATTGCTTAATTAATTTCTGTGTTTTATTGTTGCCTATTGGGGTTAGTGCTGTCTAAACAAAGTTACTGATTTGTAATATTCCTGTATGATCCTGCTGGGTTGGATTTTTCTTGCTGGAATAGAGCAGTGAAAGCCCCCCCAGGGCATGTTGCAGTTTTACTACTGTTCTCCTTCGCTGAAGGAAGTCAAGTCAGTAGGCGGATATAGTTTTCTTCTTGCCAACACAAAGTAATGAAACAGTAAGTCTTCAGCGACTTTTGACATGTTCCTCTGGATCTTGCCTTACAGGCACACGTCTTAGTTTTCTTTATACAAATAGAGTAAGAAATATAGTTTTAATAGTGAGGGGAAAATGCAATGGATGCTCTTAAGATTTCACAGTGGAATTACCTTTTTAAAATTCTTTTTAGTTACAGGCACTTGAGAAGAGTCCTATGAGCAGATATACAATTAAGTGCTCCAGGCCGTCTTCTCAGTCTGGCCTCACTGAGTAATATCATTGACATCACAAGCATGTCACATATAGATATGATGTTCTCAGCAGCATTGCCCTTTGGGCATGCTGGGAGTGTATAATGACAAATAATTTAGGATGAGTGAGTCTGTCAGTGCAGTGTGGCTGCCTTGATTTTGTTGATGCATGAATGACATCCACGACACAGAATCTTTTTGTGGAAATACAAATGTCTGGACTGGCTGGCTATTTGGCTTGCTTAACTTTGAGGACCACTTTCAGTGAATCAGAGGGCTACAATATAGTTCCTTGCCACAACTACATAGAATTTCCATACAGTCTGAAGTGCCTGATCCTGCCTAATCTTGGAAGCTAAGCAGGGTTGGGCCTGGTTGGAATCTGGATGGGTGACTTAAATGTTGAGAACAGCCCAGAGAGCCTCAGCTATGGGTGCCATAGAAATGTAATGTAATGATGATAATAATTTATGTGAGTGCAGTTATATGTAATAGCTGTTGTCCAGTATAAGAATAAATTGTTCTTGTAATGCACAGTTCTGGCATAGAACTATTGATAAAGGACAGGCGAGAGAGTAACATGTGCCCTGTAATGTTGTACTGGGGCAATGTAAGTTGATGGTGTGTGATGTTACAGAGTAACTTTAGATGTGTAGGACTTTGCATGGTATGGATTTAGTGGGCACTACCCTGACGCCTTGGCTCAAGAATCGGACTTAGTTCTGAAAGTACTCCCTGGAAATCTTTGAATCTCATTAAGACTCTGAACTGCGTCAGGGATTCAGGAACTGTAGATTATATGTGCTTCATTCTTGGTTAGATTAAGGTGGTTGTAACTGCAGAAATTGGAATGCCTTTGCCTGATGACCATGCTACCACGTGGCCAACCGGCCCATGAGGCTACCGTTGAACTAGCCAGCCTGGAGCCTTGGTAGGGGAAATGGCTTTGTCTTGAAGCATCCCCATCTCCAAGAGGCGTGAACAAGGTCAAGTACTACTTGAACACACTTGAGGGTGCCTTTGGTTTTGACTACTCTATAGCTGCAGCCCTGTACAGCCAGCTCAGTGTTGTCAGTCAAGGGGCAAAGAGCCAAATATATCATTCCTTTTGTCCTGCCTGTCCTGCCTTCCCTTTGTCCAGTATCTGAGCCACTGAGCTTTTGGTTTGAATCTGCACAGCTGCCTTGGAGTTTTGGCAACTGATGCTCATATTTCTTTCTGCAGGGGCCTCCCTCACAATGCTGTGTACAACCTAAGGTCTGATTGGCTTTAATATTTCTCTTTTCGCTGTATGATTTCCCACTCTCTCCTGGAGACTGCTCTGCTTTTCTAGGACCAGAGCTTCCCTTCACTTTCCAGCTGAACCCCCTGATTGCTGCTCTTGCCTATTTCTTCTCAGAGCCAAGGCCGGTTTGCCAGTTCACACACTCAGAGAGAAGGCTTGATCCGGCTCTGGTGAAATGCCTGTTGAGTTCCAAGTCCAGGTTCCACAGGAGCACAATTGCTGTGTGACCTGCAAGGTCATGAAGGCAGCCTGCAGCGTCCAGGGGAGTGGCTGTCTTTGAGTTCAAGAGGGGCAGTCATAAATTGAGTCAAAAGTGTTGGTGAACAGCCATCAGAAAGACTAGGGCTGAATGTGCCATTTCTGAATCTTACTGGAAGCTTTGGAGGAGCAAGAATTGCCACATAAGAGTAAATCCACTGCAACCAAATAGGGATTGCTCCAGGGTCCCTGGTAACCACTTAGTCTCAGTTTGGAGCCAACTATCGAGGGAGGTGGTGGGCTCTTCGACTGGAGCATTCCCAACACAGCTGGACGGCCATCTGTCAGGCTGCTTTAACCTGGAGTCTTGCCATGAGCAGGGGTCTGGACCTGATGGCCCTCTTGGCCCTTCCAGCTGCACTATTCTGTGATTCTGTGATCTCCCTTTGCTGATCCAGAAGCAATTCCTTTTGCTCGCTTTGGACAGTCTTCAGGCCTGCCACAGCGGCTGGAGGCTTCAGCCTCAGTTTTGAATTGGGAGCTCAAGTGGAGAAACATGAGAAAAATGTTACTATTTTTCTATTCGAATGGTTTATTCTGAGGTCAGCTCCTGCCCTGGTCCTTTTTCTCTTCTGAATCTGTCAACTGCCACCTGGGCTGCCCACCACGGTGACCTGCATGCAAACTCCCCTGGTGGCAGACCACTCCAGCACTGTCTTCTGCTTCTTATTTGACACATGCTAATTTCCCCATTTTTAGTCTTTCCCTATAGTTAGGACTCCTAGAACTAGTACAGTTGCCTATGTGTGTCAGCTAAACAAGCCATTTTCCTCTTTCATTACACTTATGCATATGTGTGTGCTTTGAGAACAAAGCTGTGCAAATATCTGAATACTTCGTACGTTTATCTGCCATGGGCGCACCACACTTCTGGTTGAAGGCCTCCTTTGATTGATACATGTGTGAATTAGAACATGCAGCAATAACAACAAATGAGAACGGTGGACTGAACATGGTGGTTAAATCAAAACAGTGTGAACAACAGCCTAATGAGCCGTAGGGTTTCTCTTATTTTGGGGTCAACTCCTGTCCTGTTCAGTAGAGAATACATTAAAAATGCACAGAACAAAGTGACATCTTACATTCCTTACTCTTAAAAAAATCACCATATAATAACACTTGAGAAATTCAGCAATTTAGATGCATTTGCTTTTACATGAATATCAAAACTGTCATTCTGTTCTATAAGGCATCTTTATGCTCTTTGATGGGAAAGTAATACCAAAAGAAATTACTGCATGACTGTGCTTGCTTTTTCCTTTTTGTTGTGTGCACTTTCTGTTTACTCTTTTCTAAATCTGTATTAGCTGTATCCATTCACTGTCTCTCTTTAAAGAGTGCTGTATCAAAGTTGCAGTGGATTATTTATCTGAGAAGGTATCCTGGCACTTCAGTTGCTAATCCTTTCTTGCTTTTTCTTCTCTGTCCTTCAGGTTTTGTTGCCAGCAGCCAGTCTATTACAGTTAATGGATGTTCGACAGAACTGTTGTGACTTCCTTCAATCTCAGCTCCATCCCACCAATTGCCTTGGAATTCGCGCCTTTGCAGATGTGCATACTTGCACTGAATTATTGCAACAGGCCAATGCCTATGCAGGTGACCACAGCAGGCTCCGAAATGTCTCTTGTTTTAATGCTATAATACTTGAATTGAAGGGCAAAAGCACCCTAGATACAATGCCTTTTCTAGCCTAAATAGTTGTCAGAAAGGGCATGTTGGGAAAATGACATGTGTGGCTGCCAGTGCAATCTCAGCATTATTTTCCTCCTGAGCACACTTACTAGGGAGAGAATCCTATTCAACACAGTAGGACTTATAAGGAAACATCTCCAGGATTGTGATATTCATCACCTACAGTTCTGCCTTTTATATAATTGGAAGCCAGTGACTGCTGCTTTGGTTGCAGCAGCTTGCTTGATAGTGTTTTCCATGTTTATCTTGCATTTTCTAGGATTCTCTTAGTTTAAATTTTGATGCAAGTGCCCTGCAGTTTAAATGAAAGCAGGGTTCACTGAAGACAGCTGAGGAGTTTTGGAAGTTCTGGGTGCATCAGGGCCATATTCATGGAGTGCTGGAGCTTCATATAGAAGAAGAAATTCTTACTATAACTAGCTAAATTTTTTATTTTTTTTCTCCCAAGCCAGGCATATTGGCATGCCTCTTATAATCTAGTCATTCTATGGGCCCAATGTGCCATTGCCTTTCACTCAGGAATCTTCCACAGAGTCCATTGTAGAATCCTAGAGTAGAAGAGTTGGAAGGGGCCATGAAGGCCATTGAGTCCAACCCCCTGCTGCTGCAGGATACCATGTTACACTATTCCACTCAGGTGACTGTCCAGTTTCTTTTTGAATGTCTCTGCTGTGGGAGAGTCCACTACCTCTCTAGGCAGCTGGTTCCACTGCTGTATTTCTCTGATTGTAAATGTGAGCGTGGATCAGAGTGTAGATATTCGCCTAACAGTCTGTGCATTTGTGAATGCAATTGTACAAGGATGAATGAGGTGCACGGATCCTGACGGCGTCAGACCTTTTAGGGCAGGGGCAGGAAACTTGTGGTCTGGCAATCCTAGCTAGCATAACCAATGGTGAAGGATGATGGGAACTGACGGCCAGTGCATGTGCCTTCTTCCAGTTTAGACTAAAATCTGAGCTGGAGAAAATCTCTCAGGGCTGTATTGCTTGTCTCAAGTACAAAAGGAGCTTGGAGACATGAACTTTGCAAAGCTTGGAGATGTCTGAACTTGGAATGGAGGAAGTTGGCAACTCCATTAGTCATTGGTAGGTAGAGAAAACTACAGTTTTGATTTACAGCTTCTATCACACACCCTTCTGTTTTTTCCGCATATAGATGCTCATCTTGCTTTTTGAGAAACTAAATTCAGGTCGGAACCACTACACTAATTTTAGATTCAGCAGCTCTGCTCATGGAAAGTTAGCGTATTAGATTGGTAAGCATTAAGAGCATACATAACAACATAGGAGAAGTCCTGCTGGATCCAACCAAAGGTCTACCTAGTCCAGCACTCAATACACAAGGTGGCAAACCCAGCTGCCCACATCATTGCTAGAGCAGGATGGGTGCAAGCCCTCTGCCCGTCTAAGCTCTGCAGCAAGGTAGCATGCATGGTAGAAATTTAGCACATAGTAGCAGAGTCTCTCATGAATCTTTCCAATCCCCTTTTAAAGTTGTCCGTATTGGAGGCCATCACCACTTCCCAAGGGAGCAAAATCCATAGTTTATACATTGTGTGAAATAGTATTTTCTGCCTTAAACCTCCCAGCAATCAGCTTCATGAAATGTCAGTGGGTTTGAGTGCTATGAGAGAGGGAGAAATGTCTTCCCCCTCCACTTTCTCCATACTGTATTTGAAACACCTTTACTCGCCTGATTTCTCAGTCCCACTTGTCATAACCACTTCTCATGGGGAGCTGCTCCAGCTCCCTGATCATTTTTGTTGCCTTTCGCTGTGCTTTTTCCAACTCCACAATGTCCTTTTTCAGGTAAGGTGACCAGAACGCAACACCATGTTTCAAGTGTAGTCTTAACAAAGATTTGTATAAGGGAGTAACATCTTGGCAGTTCTGTGACATCCTAGCTTTCAAGAAAGGGGAACATCCAAAATATATAGGCTGTACCCTGCAATATGAAGTGTCACAGAGTCTCCAGAGAACTCTGTGTAAGATACACAAGACATTACCTTGTCTGAGTCAGCTCTGTATCAAGATAGGAATATAAAACCTGGAGAAATTTCTTGACTTTGTTAAAGTAGTGTTATGCCTGGAGGTGAATGCATTCCCAGCAGGTATGCTGAAAAATCTTTTATGTTGAAGCAAAAGTTTTCTCTCCCTGAGGCTTCAGTCCTATTCCCAATTCACCTTTTCTGGGGCTTCCATAGTTCTCCCTGCATTCACACTTAATAGCAAATGCTAAGTGTGAACCAAATTGCCTGAGAAAGATTCTCAGTTGCTTCTTTGGTGCATAAGAAGCAATGGAGAAACTTGCCTAGGACAAATGACTCACTCTTAAAAGATTTGATTTTTAGAACCATTTAATCTTTAACCAGACAACTATTGCATTTGGTTTAGGTTTGGCTGTTGGGTAATTACAAGAGCTTGCTTTATTGGCTTTCATGAAGCTCTTTTTACTGTAAAAGAAATGTCATTCTCAAAAATGCTATCATTATCCTTTGGGTGTACATTAACTGTGTTGAACCAAATATCTGCATGTTAAAACAATGGAAAGTACTTTGAAAAGTGCCTTAAGGAATGACATGGCCTTGCTAACATAATGGCATACATTTCTGTCTGAATAAAACTATGAGAAGTTGGCTAGGAACACCTTATTCCCCCACTTTGCTGCATTTTCCCTCCTTTTTCAATAACATAGGCCTGATTCTGGCCCACATGTATAAGGTTTGGTTGAAATTTGTCTGCAACTGCCATCTGCTGGCCAACATGGCTATAATGTGTATTTTCAAGAGATAATTGAACAAATGAGCAGCCTTACTACACAGCAACAGAAAGACAAAAGTGAGATTGAGCATTATGGAGCTCTAATAGCCCTGCTTTTCTGTAAGTAGGGGGTAGTTTATTGTTGTGAGCACAGGTCATAACACAATCCATACCTGCCCAGGAACAAGAACAATTAAATCCTGAAAGCCCAAGTGTCTCATTGTGGTTATTGTTGTACCTGACTCCCCAGGATCCTGACATAATAGAGATACCTATCAGCTTTCTCAGGGCATTCAGGATAGGCATGACTCCTCTAGGCTCCAGATAGGCATGACACAGTCAAACACTAGAATAATCAGCTGTCTCAGGGTATGCATGATAGGCTTAGCTCTCCTAAGCTCTAGCCCATTCAAATGTTTAGTAACTGCCTCAGAGAATTCCCTCAGAAAATGGAAAAAGCTCACCAAAGACTGTAATGGGCAAAGATTGCTTAGAAGGTGTAAATTAAAAGATAAAAAAACTTACTGCTAACCAAATCTGCTTCTGTATATCGTTTGCTCAACTGCTTATGTGATTCTGTAACTCCCCATTGTCGCCATTGTTCTGATTTCTGTCAAAAACTGATTGTATTGTTTCCCATTTACCAAAAACTCACTGTGAAGCTATAAAAACCTCATTCAAACTCCACCCGGTACCGCATTCGCCGCATCCTAACCATGAATGTTGGTCCGTGCAAGAAATCTTGCAGGTAATAAATCTCCTCTTTACTTTACCATCCGGTCTCTGGTCTCGTCTGTAACACCGCGGGTACAACATTTTGGAGGCCCCAGCGAGATCAGAGCCCAGCGAGATCAGAGACCAGTGGTCTGGCTTCCATCGAACCCGGGACGGGCCCTTTTAGGCAATTTTAGCCTTTTCTTTTTACCCCGGTTCGGTGGGACGCCTGGCTGAAAGAGGAGTAATTGGTAAGTGTGCACGGCGGATTTTCCTTTCTTTTTCTATTATGTCAGGATCCTGGGGAGTCAGGTACAACATTCCCATTACGTCTTTGGTGAGCTTTTTCCATTTTCTGAGGGAATTCTCTGAGGCAGTTACTAGACATTTGAATGGGCTAGAGCTTAGGAGAGCTAAGCCTATCATGCATACCCTGAGACAGCTGATTATTCTAGTGTTTGACCCTGTCATGCCTATCTGGAGCCTAGAGGAGTCATGCCTATCCTGAATGCCTTGAGAAAGCTGATAGGTATCTCTATTATGTCAGGATCCTGGGGAGTCAGGTACAACAGTTATGACTACAATAAAACAATGCCGATACTAAAAATAATTCTAAAATACAGTTTAGCAAGGAATCTGACGACAATTAGTGAGTACAGATTTTTATCTGATTTCAAAGATCAGCACAGTAGAAATGCCCGCTTGATATCTAATGTGGCTCAACACAGCAAAGAGCATCTCCCATTTGTTGTGGAATCTGCCCTCAGGATCTGCCAAGGGCTTGGAACTGCTTTCCTCAGTGATACATCTAGAAGATTCAGGGAATGCTGTGAGATAAATAGTTTTTCTTAAAGACGGGTGTCACATGGAGAACTCTGAGTGCCGGCTCAAACCAGCATCAGGGCAGGTGTCCTGTTCAAGGAACCAGTCACAAAGTTTCCTTGTGTCCGCTAATGTGGGCCAATGGTGCAGCTGCAGAACTGGGGACAGCATGCTTGTCCATCAGTTCCCCCCCTATAGTGCCAAGCTAAATGGTATTCTGGGTGACTTTCAACGTTCTTAAAATATATTAACAAGGTCACATGGATTCTTACAGATATTCAGGGCAACTCCGTCTCCAGGGAAGGAGACCCAAGATTTTCCTTAAATTAGTTTGCATTATTTCCAGCTGAGCAAGAGCTTTCTCTCCCTACCCCAGATTTTTACCCCATGCAGCAGCTAAGAAATCACTGAAATATTTTAGGTATGCGGGCTATTAAATGGCCTTCCTTAGCAGAAAAAAATCAAAATAATCTCTACCACATAACAGGAAGTTGTTAATGCTTTATTGAGATGTACCTTCCAAGAAAAAAAAAATTCTGGAATGAACCACTCAAATATTTGAAGAAGGGCCACTGCTCTATTTACTGAGCATTAATTGTTCATCTCTATACAGCTCTATTACTGTAGAGCTGCAGGTATCCACACATCACCGACACTGTGCTGTTTAATTAGGAAAGCAAGACAGACATCACAGTCTACAGAGAAAAAGGCATGCAAGCACATGTAGCTTTCCAGAATGCAATGGTGGCTTCCCTGGGTGGTGCCCACAATGGGTAACTTTATGCTGAGTCAGGCTGTGGGTCCATCTAACTTTTGACACCAGCCTTGTCCATTCTGGTGTCCTCCAGATGTAGTGATGGGAATTGTTCTCTAACACATCTGCAGGAGCACTACACTGATGGGCAGAAGCTCTCCAAAGTTTCAGAAAGGTATTTGTCTCACTTGTGCCTAGAGATGCCTGGAATTAAACCCAGAATGTGTCGTATGGAATGCATCTGCTCTAGTCCCTTTTCTAGTGTGCTTGTGAAATTCAGAGACTTGCACACACTTCAGTCAGCTGCACGCTTTATGTTGTGGTTATGGTGCTCCCTTCCTTCCTAACTTGGTTCAGGCATCCTGGCCTCCCAATCAGACAGTTTGCTGTTGCACAGGGATCTGATAGCTTTATTATGATTGTTGACCTCTTCCAAGGATTTCATTATAAACGTCCTCTTCTCAATTTCTGATTCTTTGGAACAGAGCAGCATTTTCCTGAGGTGATGCTTGGTGAAGAGTTTCTCAGCCTAAGTCTCGACCAGGTTTGCAGCTTGATATCGAGTGACAAGCTCACTGTGTCATCTGAGGAAAAGGTACAGTCTTGCTGTGCACACTCATCACTGTAGAACTTTGTTTTGAGAAGCAGATAAAATAAAGGAATAACTCTGTAAAGGGGTCAAGTCCAGCAGGAAAGGACTTGGAAACAATGCAAAGTGAAACCATCTAAAGAAAAGAAGGCAGCATCCAGCATGACACTGCAGATCAAATAACATCAGGCTAGTGCTTGCTGGCACAATGGGTTTTTTTGGAGACACCAAAAACCATGCCAGCACCTGCTGTTGGTACTTTGCTGGTGGTGGTTTATGCTTGTGCAGTGTCATTTATGTTAACGGTGTCAGACTGGGTACAGCTCACAGTGCTCAACTGGAGCCTTGTGAGATGCACAGTAGGTCAGAGAGAGCACTGCTGTTGTGTTTCAGCCAGTCCTGCCAGTGCTAATCCTCAGGGCACCAAAGAACTGTTTTTTCACATGCTGAGCGACTGCTTCACAGCTTCAATTTGCCAAAATGGTGATAATGCAAAATAGGGGTTGGGCTTGGCTCCAGCCCCACATTGATTTTCTCTTGTATCACAGTAGGGCTTGCCTCTGAATATTTGTGGGGAGCTGATGTTTCAGGAGAACTGTGAACAGAGGATCACGAACTTGCTGTCATGGCCCTTTGAGATTTGGCTTAGGGCCTTTTCCCCCTGGTGACTCTTTGCCCAAGTCTTTTTTTTTTTGGGGGGGGGGCTTTGAAAGCACTCTTTGTCCCAAAGCTTTTTATATCTGATTTTGTCCTATGATTTTCTTTTCTGAATGTTATGATTATGTATTCTCATTCAGTTTTCTATGGCTTTGCTAGGTACTGTTGTGAAATTTTCTTTGACCATGAGCTGCTTTGTGCAGAGAGGAAAGGATATTTTGAAAAGCAGGATACAGATAATTTAGAATGGACTAATGGATTGCTAGTGACAGATTTTATTTTCCTGGGCTCCAAGATCACCACAAACGGTGACTGCAGCCAAGAAATTAAAAGACGCTTGCTCCTTGGGAGGAAAGCTGTGGCAAATCTAGACAGCATACTTAAAAGCAGAGACATCACCCTGCCAACAAAAGTGTGTATAGTCAAGGCTATGGTTTTCCCAGTTGCAATGTATGGCTGTGAAAGCTGGACCATAAGGAAGGTTGAGCACTGAAGAACAGAGACCTTTGAATTGTGGTGCTGGATAAGACTCCTGCGAGTCCCTTGGACCGCAAGGCGATCAAACCGGTCAGTCCTAGAGGAGATCAACCCTGACTGCTCTTTGGAAGGCCAGATACTGAAGATGGAACTCAAATACTTTGCCCACCTAATGAGAAGGAAGGACTCCCTGGAGAAGAGCCCAATGCTGGGAACAATAGATGGCAAAAAAAAGAAGGGGAAGGCAGAGGATGAGGTGGCTGGATGGAGTCACTGAAGTAGTCGGTGTGAGCTTAAGTGGACTCCGGGGGATGGTGGAGGACAGGAAGACCTGGAGGAGTGTTGTCCATGGGGTCGTGATGGGTCAGACACGACTTCATGACTAGCATAGCACAGCACAGCATAGCTGGGGAGTAGAACTTGAGTGACAATACTGTACTCTTCTCCTCTTCCTCTGTTACCTTTCTGTGTGGGAAACAGAAGATGTGCCTTCAAGTATTTGCATCCCAGGCCATTTGGAGCTTTAAAGGGAAGCAGCAGTGCACATCTTTGTGTTTAAAAGCCTCTGGATCTTGCAGTTAAGAACAGATGGGGAAATGTAAATGAAATGAAGGTGTCTAGCATCCTAGTTCAGTTGGGACTAGTGTAACTTTGGAAGTTCCATTGCAGGTTCAGGCAGGTAGCAGCAAAGTGCTATGTGCTGAGGGAAAAGAGTTCACTTTAATAGCTGCTCATCAAATTGGAAAGATGAGAAGGCACAATGACCAAAGTTCACAATTTAAAATAGCGCGAAATGAGCAATTAATTTCCCTTTGGCAAAAAGTACAGCACGCTGAATGGAATGCAATTAGTGCCACATTAAATTTAATGTCCCATCCTTAATTTACACTGGTCAGATGATACGGTTTTCAAAAAGCACCAGCATAGGTATGTGCACAAATGCCATCGTCACTTTTGGTCTGTGTTCTCAGCTGGCATATGCAGTCTGCTGCACACTCTGTAAATGGAACCTCTCTTACCTTGGAGCTCCCTCCCTGCATACGTGGATGAACCTTTTCAACCTGGTGGCTCATACCGAGTGCAGCTTCCCCGCTGAAATACATTGCAAGTTGTGGGATGCTGGGAGATCTGAACAAGGAGCATCATTTAAGATATGTGTCACTTAGGTTCACCATGGCATTTCATACAAATCTGGACCTGAAAGTAACAGCTAGTTATTTTAGAAGAATGAAAATTGCTAGTCTGTGTTGTGAGGAAAATGTGGCTTTCAATAAGCAGGAAAGATTCCTAGTGGCAAAACTGGATTTTTAATGTCACACTTCTGTTGATTTCATGGGATTCTACAGTTCTTCCATGGCCTTTAGGCTGTATTGCCACATGTCATTGCCCACTGCTTCTCTGCTGTGTTACTCCTGATAGACACAATAAAAAAGTCCTGTTTGGGCATTCATCTGAATGCGTGCGAGCTTAATCTGAGACCCTGCCCCTGCCCCTGCAGGTACACTGGCCTCACCACCTGTGTCTTCCAAGTGTTCTTGCACTGCCACCTTCAGCTTAGACCTTGCTATGTTGAATTGGTCTGGAAGGGAGTTTTAATAATCTTTGCTTTAATATGAGTAAAACTCTCAATGTAATTGTGAACCCTGACTGAACAGGAAAAAAAGAAAAGAAAAAGAAGTGAGGACAAAATAAGGCATGCAAATTAAGAATTCTGCATCTCACTCTTATTTTGTATGATTATTCCTGTGATTGAAACAAGGTGAAAGTTTTCTTGATGGGTTTCAAGCAGTTTTTTAAATAAGCTAATCTGCGTTATTACAAGTTACACCTGTGATTATTATGTTGTGCACAAACTGCATAACAACTTGCATGCTTGGGAATTAAAGTGTCTCATTTATTTGGAGTAGGAGAAAAGAAGAGAAAAGAGCAGAGAATTATGTCATATTTGAAGAATTATATTTGTATCTGGCACGTGCTTGATCTAAATATGTTCCCTTTTAGTTTTTTAAAGCTTCCTTTATCATTATTCTCTTTCCTTACCTTTTGAAATAAGTTTAGTTCGTTTCTGAAAACCTGTTGGTTAGCTTCTCAAACCTCTGCTTCTTAAGTTGGTTTTGACAGTTTTTGATGTAAGCACCTTTGATATAAAATTATATATATGTTTTCATGCTGTTTTCAGGTGTTTGAAGCTGTCATTTCTTGGATAAATTATGAGAAAGAGTCTCGCTTGGAACACATGGCAAAGCTGATGGAGCATGTCCGGCTCCCTCTCTTGCCTAGAGATTACCTTGTACAGGTTAGTAGTTGTCAAATCTCTACTGCAGGATTGAGAGTGTCTGTGACTTGCCATCTCTTGAGAGACAGTAGTCCTTGCCTGCCAGCACACTTGGTGAAAATGTCAATCTTTTCTTAAACGGAATGCTCCACTGGACAGAACAGGGGATAAACTTGACCATAATAACTAGTGCAATACAAACCCGCCTATTCTGTATTCTGTTGAATTTGGAAGATATGACTTTAGCAGCCTCATATTGTACACTTTCTTTCACTGACAGATGGAGTGGGCAAACCCTTCTATAATGTCCATAATTTGTTTGTGTGCAACAAAAACAACCACATGGATACTTCTAAGCATCCCTTTTCACCTGTTCTTTTAAGTGCCCTTTCCACAGCAACTATACCAAAACCACCATCTTTTTTTAACCCCCAGTGTTTAAAGGGAAGTTTGGGGGGATTTGCTGTGTAGATACTGGAAAAGTTCTTCCCATATGCTCATATGTCCTTATTGCCTCATGGCCATTGGTTTTAGAAGCTTCCTGCCCAGAATATGATGTCTCGAACAGACGGCACAATTTCTTTCCTAGGCACAATGCAAGCAGATGGCTGAACATGCCAAGTTTTTCCCATTGTTGAAAGGGAAAGTGGAAGAGGAAAGAGGTGTATGTGTTGGTGGGGCTCTGTTTTCCTTGGCTTGCAACTGGAGTGCTGAACATTTGAGGCTCTAGATTGCAGCTCCTGTCTAGAATACACGGCAATGCATGCATGGGTATTGATGCACAGATCAGCGTTTGAATATCGCATCCTCAGAACATCTTGGCTTTCCAAATTTTAATGTCTAGTACTTCTTTCTTCTAGTTGCTTATACTTTGGATTGCATTCTAATACTAGTAAGTGGAGTCCTTGCAAAAATGTCCAGGTGCAGAAACAGTGTTGCTGCATTTGGAGTGCATAAAACATTTAGGCCACATATGGACCAGCAATTTGTGGCATTCACTGACTCTCTGTGCAGCCTGTGCAAGTTGCCCCTGCCGCCGCCAAATTTTGCAGTGCTGATGGGAAGAATCTTGCATGAGGAGTCTACCAGTTTGAATCACTTCGAAGGGGGATTGGACCAATTCTTGGAAGAGAAGATGATCAACTAGTTCTTACGGCTCTATGCTACCTCCAGTATATGAGACCATATGCCTCTTTACACTGGGGAACATGGGTGGGAGGGTGCTGTGGATCTTGTTCTGCATGTGGGGTTCCCACAGGCATCTGGTTGGCCACTGTGTGGACAGTAGGCTGCCCCAGATGGACCCCTGAACTGATCAAGCATGGCTCTGAGGTTCCTAACAGTGTGAGCCACACAAATTCCTTTTCATGTAGCTCCTATTTCTGGGCTGCTCTCAGCTCAGCAGCAGGCATGTAATAGGCTAGGAGACTGCTTGGAAGGGATCCCATTTCTTCAGCTCTTTCTCACCCTAGTGATGAAAACCTTAACAAGTCAGGATCACACTGGCTGTCACCAGCATGAGCTTTGCTTGTAAAAGCTTCGGAGCACACAGGCAGGGGATCTTTAAACCCCCATTCCTAGGCATTACAATTGAGGAAGGGGGGGGGTCTGTCTCTTTCTTTGCCTCTGCTTCTTGAGTGGTTTCGAGAAGGGAGTTTGAGTTGTAACACTTTGTGTGTGTGGCTCCCGACTCAGTGTGGGAGTCCCCGGAGGCAAGAAGGTTGTGCAGCTATGCCTTTGATGAAGGTAGCATAACTTACATGCATCCTTGCCTAGATGGACTGGATAATACTGTCACGGATGAAATAGGAAGCTGCCTAGGAAGGCCTTGGCAATCATAGGCAGCCTATAAATGCATGTAGATAAATAAAAAAAGGTCACAATGGGTAGAATCCAGTACTGTTTGTGCACTAGCAAGACACTGGTGATTTCTGAAGCAAACCCAGAGATGCCTTCCAGCCAATTGTTCGGGTTGCTCTGGAAATCCCCAGCTTCCAGTTGTGCTAGCGGTGGGTCCTATGGGCTCAACAGACTGAACAGAGGTGTAGTGGCTGTGCTGGACTTCCCAGTGAAGCCAGATGTGGAAGAAGCAGTGAGGAATTTATATCGATACTCCTGTTCCAAAAGCGTTAGTGATAGTCAAAGCATATTCTTAATGACACTGCAAATCCACAGGGGTTCCCCCCTACTAGTGGATTAAAGCCATTGTACTAACCTTTCTTGATATTTTCAGACAGTTGAAGAAGAAGCTTTAATCAAGAATAATAACACATGCAAAGACTTTCTAATTGAAGCCATGAAATATCACTTACTTCCTCTGGATCAAAGGCAGCTGATAAAGAATCCTCGGACAAAACCAAGGACACCAGTCAGTCTGCCAAAGGTAAGCTAGATCTTCCGAGCCAGAGTTCACTCACTGGCTTGTCCTGAAATGTAATATGTACAATATATACAAATAATAATTTCCAGGTAGAGAAGTCTCGTCACTTCATATTCTATCAATCTGAGCCTTCCTCATCCAAGTGCTTTTCTATTATTGCTGATTTGAACCCCACTGAAATTATCCTGCATGCCAGAAAATTGTTTTTATTCTGCTGACTGTTGCTTTTAGAAGCCTCATATAAGTTCAGGTATTTTATTTTTCCAAATTTCTGTTTGCTGTTAAAAATACACAAATGCATGGGCTTTCCTTTATCTTGGAACTTTATTTCCCGCTCTTGCCAAGGTGATGATTGTGGTAGGTGGGCAAGCCCCCAAAGCCATTCGGAGCGTGGAGTGTTACGACTTCGAGGAAGAACGGTGGGATCAAGTTGCTGAACTTCCTTCCCGGAGATGTAGAGCAGGTATTCCTCCCTCTTTTTGAAACAGCCTCAGTCAGAATCCCAGGTATTATTATTCATTATGCATGTTATATTTTCCGTTATATTGTGCAACTGTATGTTTAGGCCACATAGCACAAACCCATTGGAGATAGTTAGATTGCAGCCATTCTTTGATAACAGATTCTGTCTGCAAACCACTTCATAGGTTTCAGCAGCCACTGGGAGTCATTTCACACATTACATTTTTTGAGTGTATAACAAGAAGTTGTATAACCAACAACTATGTGATTGCAAACCCTGGGTGCTCCACAGCTGTGAACTCACCAGGGAGTTGTGATTGGCTTAGCCATGGGAAGACTCAGAACCGGGCTGTCCTTGGAGTGCTCTGTGCAGCTGCCAATAAAGGCTGCTACAAAACGCTTCTGCATAGTGTTGGCTTCCTGTTGACAGCTGTGACATTTTGAAAACTAGTTTCTCCCCCAGATAGGATATAGTTTCCATGTCAGGGCCAGAAACCCTCACAGAAGTGCACTGCTGGCAGGAAGGTTCTCCTGGTACTAGGATGCAACATTTATACTTTATGGCTTCCACCAGGAACTGCCGCCACACTGGAAGGTTTCTTGGTTGCCTTCGTGTAGCTGCTGTAACATACAGCACCCCAACAGGAATTTTTTCAAAGAATGTTGCATAAAGCCTTTCTCTCCTCCAATTTGTTTTTAACAGGGGTGGTCTTCATGACTGGCAAAGTTTATGCTGTAGGAGGTTTTAATGGCTCTTTGCGAGTCCGAACGGTAGATGTATACGATGGAGTGAAAGACCAATGGACGTCAATAGCTAGCATGCAAGAAAGACGGAGCACTTTAGGAGCTGCCGTGCTTAATGAGCTTCTCTATGCTGTTGGTGGATTCGATGGAAGCACAGGTAGGTTGCTGAACAAAGGCCAAAGCCCAGGGTCAAATGTTGCCCCACCTTAGTTCTTCAATACTTTACAGTTCCTCTGAAATAATCGCTTCTTCCACTCGATTTCAAACATTCCTGCTGTATACAAACCCTCTTTGGTACTCTGTACATCCTATTTTTTACATCCTGCTTTATTTTAACTGTAGTTTCTTGAGAAAATTAATGGAAGCCTAGTTGTTGTTCATTGGACACCTTGTATGGCAGAGGCCATCTTTAATTAAAGGGCTGTTGAGTTTTGTATACATGATGCATTTTTGTCTGCTTGTATGAAGAGAAGCCTAACTGGAGTAGTTACACAAGAAAACGCTTTCCTTTTTCTTGATTTGAGCAGTGCTCAGAAATGAACATCTTTTCTCCATTTCTTATTTATTAAGTAGTACTTTTAAACTCAGATGTTGAATGATTTTAAGTAACAAGCATCGAGATGCTAGTCTCAGGCATAGATGCTCTTTGCAAGCGTATTAGTGGGGGGCATATTAATGGGGGTGGTTTAATATGTGGACAGGAAGCTTCTGGCTACTGGCTTAGTTCAGCCAGCTTTCTTCTCCTTTCTGCATGGAAGTCACATGAGTATTAAGACAAAGAAGGCACTATATTCTGCTAAGCTGTGGAAGCAGAAAACATGTTTATGTTGTTTTCAAAACAGGTCTGGCTTCTGTGGAGGCCTATAATTATAAAACCAATGAGTGGTTTTTTGTGGCACCTATGAACACAAGAAGGAGCAGCGTTGGAGTGGGAGTTGTGGAGGGTAAGAACAGCAAGCTGACATCTCAGGCCCTGCAACTTCGCTAACTGTGGCATTCCAGCCACAAACCCTGTTGAGGATATAACATGGAATTAGCTGGAACTGCCCGGTGCTGTGGGGTGTTCTGTAGATAAACCCCCCTCTTGAAAATAAGGCTAAGCACAGCAGTGGCTGAGGTATATGCTTAGATCCTCAGTGCTGAACATTGTATTCCTTAGTGTGCTAGAAAGCATTGCTTGCTTCTTATCAGCTGGCCTGATAGAAATCAAGGTTGCTGGAGGCATGAAATCCTGCACTGGCTAAACCATGTGCTAAAGTGTGCTCTATCCGCAAGGCCACTTGATTTTTTTGCCCTAAATGAAAGTTGTTTCGGTTAACTTTCATTTACTGCCCAGAGAGCCTCAGCCCTTGGGCGGTATAAAAATGAATGAATAAATAAGTATACAAAACATGGCATAATAGGAATTTCTTGAACATAGAAAGCACCATCGATTACTTATTCAGTGGTTCTCTAGCTCCATCTAGTGAGGAAAGATCAAATCTTTCACATCCGCCCAAATGGGAATTTGCCACCTGTGCTGCATGAATGTGGGGATACTCGCTTACTCTGTAATTCCTCACTTCCAAGTCTCCATGCCCATGCAAAAATTATCCCATCATCCTTGGGTAAATATACTCCAGCTAAATTGTTCTTCAAATTTCACCAATGGATCTATGCATTTGATACGTGTGAAAAATGTTAGGTGGAATGCATTATAAAGATGGACACCTATTAAACACATGGGTTTTCACAATGTAAAATAGGTGAGACAGTTAGCAAAAGGAAAGCATTGGTTGTAGCATCTTAATGCTGCCACTCTGCATTCCTTCACTCTCTTCTGACTGGTCAGTGCTGCATATTCATTCCATGCAGGTAAACTCTATGCTGTGGGTGGTTACGACGGAGCATCACGTCAGTGCCTTAGTACTGTGGAGCAGTATAATCCGGCTACAAATGAGTGGGCTTACGTTTCAGATATGAGCACTCGGCGCAGTGGTGCAGGTATTTCATTCTCAGCTGTCACTTTTCAGTTTTTCCTCCCCTTTACTGGCTCGTATCCTATTTTGCCCTGGGATTTGCAGGACTGCATTTCATGCTTCTAAAAATAACTCTGAGAAGGAGCAGAAATAGCATTTCTGCTCTTTTCCAGAAGTGGACAGGTCAGTAAGGCTCTCGGAAGGGAGCTCTGCTGATTTGTCCCAAGTTGGAAATGAACAGTTGCATGCATTTCCAGGATCGCTTTCAGAAGTGTGAAGCCTCGTTATGCAAGCAGTCACTGTGCGAACTCAACAGAACCGGTGGAATCGGAGTACCCCATGAGTGTTCTTTCCATACCCAATCTTTGAATAGCTATTACATTTATTTATAGTTACTACATTTATTTTAAGAGTTCAGACTTCATTAAAAGAAATCCGCTGTGTGCCTTTCCTGGTGCCTGGTGCCAGTACTGTGTCTTCTCAGAGATTAGTTTTAAGGAATCTGCCCAGTATAGATTCTGTTCATTTTCAGGCCAAATGCTGGCATGAGACCAATGCAGGACTTGGAAGCATTCTGCCAGAGAAGAGTTGAAAATAACTCGATAGCAAGTGATGGAGGAAAATGGAAACTTTTTTGGTCTTGTCTACAGATGGAGGGAGAAGCTATTGCAGATAACCGCACAGACCCAGCCAAACATGTGGTCTCTTCTAAGAGCAGCTGGTGGCCAAGGTGATCCCAGCTGAAGGAGACCTACCACACAGACAGTGTTAGTAGCTGTAGTCCGTGCACGTCTTCATAGATTCCTTTCCAGACACACCCAACTGGCACTGACAAGCAAGCAAGGAAGTGGGCATGCATTTGGCTTTGTCTGTGGGATTTTCATGTTCAAGGTTGCCTTGCGTTGCCCAGTTCTAATGTGTACCTTTAATTTCTATGCTGCTTCTAGCAGGATGGATGGCTCAGGTGTGTTCCCTAGTTGGCCAGTGAGGCAGGCACAGCATTTATTGGTTCATCTCAGGAATGGGGGACCTTTAGCTTGTAGGCCTTATCCAACCTGGAGAGCTTCACCAGCTGCCTGTGGGCCTGCCAGGAGCTCAAAGCCCATCCCCTGGAGGAATCCCTGCTCAGTGATGGGAGAAAACAGCAGGAATTCCTTTGCACGCCACTCTGTCTCCCAACCAGGGTGGCAGGCAGCAGAAGATTGCCAGCTGGACAATTGCCTTCATGCACTCTTGCCACGATCACAGCGAAGAGCAGAGATTTCCTTGCTCGCTGCTTCCCTGCTGAAGAGCAGGCGCTCACTTTTGTGCACCCTGTCCTCGCAGCTGGGAAGGGAAACCGGTCACGAAACTGGCAACTCAGCCAGCTCTTGGAGAAGCCACTCTTGTAAGTGCCAGCAGAGGCAGTTGGTGTGCCACACCCCAACCAAGCCAGCTGCTCCTCCAAGGGTTGGCGGAGGCCTTTTTCCCACGCAGAGGGAGGCATGGAGTCTGTCTCTTGTGCTCTTTCTGGACAGAGGAAAGAAAAGTGGGTGGGGATCAAGACCAGATGACATTAGTGAGGGGAGGGGCTCCTTGTCCTCCACTTGACAGGGAGGGCTTTCTGTTTCTCTTTGTTGTCCAGGGTTAGGGGACTTTTGTTCATCTCATAAGCCTTTGTCATAATGGAGCAGTTTAGAAGATAGGAGTGGCAAAGAAATTCCGGATTGAATACAGAGCTGGAACTTATGACGAGGGCACTGTAAGCCTTGGGTGGAAACTGTGCTCTGCTTTGTAGGTGTCGGCGTGCTGAGTGGACAGCTCTATGCGACTGGAGGACATGATGGTCCTTTGGTGAGGAAAAGTGTGGAAGTGTACGACCCTGGAACAAATAGCTGGAAACAAGTGGCAGACATGAATATGTGTAGGAGAAATGCAGGTATGTATTTCATATATTGCCAAACATTTATATGCCCCTTTTCACATATAAACAGTCTTTTAGAGCAGTTAACTTTATATTAAACAAAACACCTATAAAAAGGTAATTTCTATTTATTTTGCATTCATCTCATTTTGTTTTAAGGAGTAATATCTACATGCTTGAAGAGAGGTTGGTTTGATGTGTCTTTAAACATAGTGACTAGATTGTATATAAGAATCTATTCATTTAAGTCTGCTGGAGCTCTGGTGTTCAGCAAGGAATCTGGCATCCAGTGTGGAACATAATTTCCAGGGCATCCGTTTTCATTTTAAGAACACGTTTCTGTCTCTTGTGGTTGCATGCAGAACAGACAATCTGCTTGTTTGGGTATTCAGAGTACTCTTAAAACATCCCTCAAGTGATGTGCAATAGCTGTGAGTGGAACAGTAATGTCACTATAGAATACAATAAAAATATGACCATGGACAATAGAGAGCTTGTCAATAGAGTGCACAAAAGCCAAAGTAAATTTATGTGTTTATTTTATAGGACTTCCAAGTCCAGCCGTAGAGACTTTTGTACACGGCACATTTCCTACTCTCCCATCCTTTCCTGCTCCCCCATCCACACCCTTTTTCTTTCTTTGTATCTATTTGTATATTTATGAGCATTTCAGCATAAATCGAGCCCCCAAATCCATTTATAAAGCAATTTTTACAAATTTGGAAAAAAATTAAAGCTTTGTCAGACCTCATGGACCATGGGCCAAATTCAGCCTGCCAGGGATTGGCACTGCCTTTCTCACCAACCACCAACTGTTTGGTGGATTCCCCCCTTTTGTGTTGGTTCTGCAGGGTGGGGACATGCAAGGACATGACTGATAGAATTGGAAGTGGAGGCAAACTCAAAGTTGTCTTCACTTCAGTATCTTTATTTTCCCATCCACCTGCCCTGTGGATCCAGTTTTATGGGCTTTTTGGACTCTCTATTGAGGAAGGGAGGATTTTGGAGAAGGCTTAGGATAACTCATACTTTGGTCTCTCTGATCTCCGTCCCCTGCCCACTAGAACACATGCTTCCTTCCTTTTGCAGGGACACTTTTCTGACCTCAGAGGCTGTGTTCTTTCCATGCCAGCTGATAGTGGGCAGGGGAGGAGGGCCAGGTCTTCCATGCCCCTTCTGAGGTTGGACTGCCTCCATAGACTAAGAAAGGAAGATCTGAACAATCTTATGGTGGATGCTGCCCCTGGATTCCTCTCTCCAAGTTTAAATGCCTCTCCTAAAACTTAACAAGAGCTTTAGGCTACAGTCCTATGCATGTGTAGACAAGACAAAAATCCTACAACTTGCATCCATGCTGGCTGGCAAATGTTGGGCTTGTAGGGCTGTTTTTTTCTTTTTCAACATTCATAGAATGGCATCTTTGGGAAAATATGTGGGTATATTTGGACACTCCTGCCTTTGTTTTTGGCCCTGCACACCACTGCAATGTGGATTCAAAGAGCTTCTCTGAAATTGAATTGGCCTTTAGGCTAGAAGCGGTTTGGCACTCCTGCTGTAAAGCATCACGCTAGAATTAAGAGTAGGAAAGAATCTTAAAAATTTGGGGCTAGGGCTAATACCACCCAAATATTAAAGAGTATTAAAAGCGCTTTGACAGTCCACCTAAAACTGGACAAAGACTTTGACCCTCCTTGTGTTCCTGCCCACCTAGACTCACCTAGAACAGTTCTGAGGAGGAGCTTCAGTTACAGTGCATGGAGAACAGCGAAATGAGTGTGGACTGGGACTGGATGCCATCAAGGAGTTTAGGGGCTGAAGCTTCGCCTCCTGTTGTATTCTGTCACGTACAGGGAATCCAGGACTGCACACTGTCCTCTAACATGTTCAGTACCCAGTCTGTACCTTGAACCATGCCCAAATAGTCTAAAAAATGGGTATCTGTTCATTCTTCGTCGTGGCCTCTGTGTATCACACATACAGGTACTGCGCCTGCGCAGTGCCTGTGGCCAGAAGATTGATAGCTAACGGTTTTTGGCGGGAAGCTCCGCTCCCCTCCCCTCTGTGGCCTATAAAGAGCGGAGCGTCCGCCATTTTGTTCAGTCTTTGCAACCACCGTTCACTGTGCCTCATGCCACTTTCGATTTTCGCTTCGACTATTACCTCGTTCTCGAATTGTCCCTTATCCTAGTTTTTTCCTCTCCTTGTTCCCAGCTTATTATTCTGGGTAGCTTTCTCTCATTATTTCTTCTTTTGATCTATCAATATATATCCTCTTCACTATCTCTCTTTTCTTCCTCTTCTTCTGCGATGGCACAGTGAGCGGCTTTCCGCAAATGCGCGGATTGCGGGTCAAAAATGGCACCAACTGACCCGTATGACCTATGCCTCCTCTGCCTGGGAGAGGGGCATAGGATGGATAAATGTGTGCAATGCCTGGCCTTCTCCAAGCAGGCCAGGAAGAACCATGAAAACCGGCTTCGGAGGCTCCTTTGGGATCGGGCTCTGATGCAGTCAGACCTGCTCATCACCGTCCTAAAACCTGGCTCCGCTTCTGTGGCCCCACCCTCACGGCCTTCGGACGAAGGTGCGTCTGCTTCGGTGGCCCCCTCTGCTTCACCTAAAAAGAAGCATGAAAAGCGGAAGCACGCCAAAGAGAAGTCGGCAGGCCAGAAAGGAGAAGGTCTCCAAGCCTCCAAAAAAGTCTAAGACTTTGGACCATCCCCGAAATCGGAATTCGGAACCGATGGGACTCTTGGCACCAGTGGCGGTTACGATACCGACCCCACCCGAACTGGTCCTCCAGGAGGCTATGCGGGTTACCCCTCAAGGGTCTCCCGCCGTTCGGTTGACCTCCCACCTGCACCCCTTCCAACTCTACGGGGTTCAATTTCTGATGGGGAAATCCAAGACTCCCCTCCTAGGGTGAGGTCACCGACACCCATGCCTACGGTGACGATGGAAACGGATGTTGGCCTGTCCCCACCAGGGAGCCGGAGGAGCCGCTCGGTAGAGCAACGCCCGGAGAGTTGGTGTCGCCCTTACTACCATACTTGGGGTGATCCGCTCTCTGTACGGTACTACCCTGCTCCCAGGGCACGATCATCTCCACCCAGCGACCAACCGCGATCAGTGGATTCGAGGCGGGTGCCACCTCGATCCCCACAAAGTGGAAGCAGCCGCTCCTTCTCGCTGGCAGAGTCGTCATCTTCGGCCCCACCCTACTATGGTGCCGATTCGGCTGACTCGGAGGTCGACTCAACCTCCCCGGACATCGCTGTGACATCCCAGGGTCCTGTGTCACCCGACGAGTCCCACGTCTCCTTCGCGGAGCTGATGTCGAGACTTGTCCAGTCCCTGGACATCGATGCTGCCCAGCACCCGGGACCGTCGACGGACAAGTTTTACGACGTCATCCGCGGGGAGCAATCGACATCTATCGTTCTGCCGCTCATAACCTCCTTGCGGCAGGCGATGACGCAGCCCTGGGACCTGCCATCACATCCTCAGCCGACGTCCAGGAGGTATGAGTCGATGTACAGGGTTTGGGAAGAGGATATTCCCTTCCTTCTCAAACACCCAAAACCGAACTCTGTGGTCGTCGAATCCTCGCAGGGCAGAGAGGCGAGAGGACACACGGCACCGAGAGATAAAGAGGGCCGAAAAATAGACTCTCTGGCCAGGCGAGTCTATGCTGCTTCGGGCTTGGGACTTCGCATATCAAATTATGAGTCGACGTTGGTGAGATATCAATATTTTATTATACAGCGCCTCCACAACGTCGCCTCCACTCTCCCAGACCACCAGGGTGATCTCGCGAAGGTCCTGATCAAGGAAGCCATGCAGGTCGCAGTGCAGCAGTTATCCACGGCAAGGCACCACATGGATACTGACTCCCGGGCCTTGGTCGGTGCTGTTTCCATTTGGAGGCATACATGGCTCCGTAATTGTAATTTCCCGGAAGAAACCAAGCGGCGGATAGAGGAAATACCTTTTGATGGATCCGGGCTTTTCTATTCTCAAACCGACCATAAGCTCAAGAAGCTCCATGAATCGAGGATGACGGCACGCAGGATGGAGATCCAGTCTCACACTAGACGTAAGTGGTCCTGGAATCGTCCATCCTACAGGCAATCCTACCAACCGAGACAGCAGCCTCAACACCGCCAGCAACAACAACAGCAGCGACACCGTCCTCAGCCCCAACAGTGTTTCCAGCAGGGCCACCATCGTTTTGACAATCGGAGGCAATGCTGATGGGACTGGCGAACCATTCCTCACACTCCTTCAATACCCACCCCCCTCCCATTTGGGGATCGGCTTCGAAGCCGACTCCCCATTTGGGAGTCCATCACATCTGACCGGTGGGTATTATCCATTGTTCAACACGGCTATTGAATAGAATTTGACATCGTTCCTCCTTCGAGTCCGATCTGGTCTGCTGTATGCTCACCGGTACTCCTCGACGAAATACGTCAACTTCTCCGTAAAGGAGTGATTCATTAAGTATTTCCATCTGACGGACTTCACGGATTCTATTCCAGATACTTCACGGTCCCTAAGCAGGATGGTGGTCTACGTCCGATTTTGGATCTATGGAACTTAAATACATTTATTGTACCAAGAAAGTTTCGTATGACTACCCTTCAGAACATTTTGCTGTTGTTAAGGAGAGAGGATTGGTTCGCCTCACTGGACTTGAAGGACACCTACTTCCACATTTCAATTCACCCAAATTACAGGCATTTCCTTCGTTTTGCGATTGCAAGCCAACTTTATGAGTTCACAGTTTTACCTTTTGGACTGGCTACGGCTCCGAGAGTTTTTACCAAGTGCATGGCTCCTGTCTGTGCCTTCCTACGCCTTCAGGGCATACAAATTTATCCGTACCTCGATGACTGGCTGTTGGTCTCACAGTCCAGAGAAGGACTCTTGGCAGCCATCCATAAGACCTGTGCCTTACTAGATGACCTAGGCTTACGTATTAATACAGAGAAATCTTCTCTTCTCCCAACACAGATGCTCACCTTCATCGGAGCCCGCTTGGATTCAATGTAGGAGAAAGCTTTCCTCCCGCAGGACAGACAACAGACTCTTGCTCGCCTTATCCATCGAATCCGACGAGAGGGAACGGTCGCGGCGAGGTCTATCCGGAGGGTCCTGGGACATATGACGTCCTCAGTTGCTGTGGTTCCACATGCCAGACTTCGGCTTTGCTCGCTACAACTATTTTTCAACAGGGTGTATCACCCTCAAAGAGAGCCACAGTCCAAACTGATTCGGATCCCATCTTCCGTGCTCCACTCTCTGCGCTGGTGGCTGAAACCGACCAATCTTACACTAGGAGTCCCCTTCAGGGCGCGATCTCCTACGATAACCCTCAGCACCGACGTGTCTCTCCTAGGATGGGGAGCGATATGCCCTGGCCTATCTACCCAGGGTACGTGGAATCGTCTAGAATCCACGAATCATATCAACTTCCTGGAGCTACTGGCAGTCTTCAAGGCCCTCCGTTCTTTCGAGGACCTCCTTCATCATCAGATCGTTCAGATAACCTTGGACAATATAGCGACCGTTTTTCATCTGAACAAACAAGGAGGGTCGAAGTCACCAACTCTAGCCAGACTCTCGATGGAAATTTGGGACTGGTGCATTCAGAGACACATTGCGCTGATGGCTGTTCATGTGGCTGGCATAGACAACATGCACGCGGACCTTCTCAGCAGGCACATGTTCACCTCTCACGAGTGGAAACTGGACCCTCGTACGTGCAACCACCTTTTCAGGCACTGGGGGTTCCCTGATGTGGACTTATTCGCTACCCAACAGAACAGGGTGTGCGAGGCTTACTGCTCAAGAGCGGGAATCGGACACGCGTCCCTAGGGGACGCATTCATGATCCCTTGGAACAACATGCATTTCTATGCCTTCTCTCCGAGCCCTCTTCTGATGAAGGTCATAGCAAAGATCGTGCACGACCGGGCATCAGAGATACTAGCTGCCCCTTGGTGGCCACATCAAGCGTGGTTTGCGAAACTACTCGACATCTCTCACAGGGAATTTCTTCATCTTCCATCGCTCCCATATCTTATAACGCAGGTGGACGGCACACTTCGCCACCCAGACTTGCTCTCATTGAACCTAATAGCGTGGCGAATTCGATGATTGACGTTCCATCGATACCGATGACGGTTTCGAGAGTTACGAATCCGACAACTTCTGTTAATCTATCGGTACCGATGATGACTTCATCCACCTCGGATCCAATTGTCGAATCACTCGGGTGCTTCCCCTTTCTCTGATCTCTCTGCACCATCCAGTTCGAGACAAGACCCGTTGAATTCGAATCCGACGTTTTTGCACCCTGATATTCAGCATATCTTCGACTCTGCCTAAAAGCCATCTACAAGGAGGTCATATAAGGCTAAATGGAAACGTTTTTCCACCTTTGTCGAGTCGCGTTCGTTCTCTCCATTCCTCTCATCTATTGAACAAATTCTTCAGTTCCTTCTGGAATTTCACCATTCCGGATTGAAGCCGTGGTCCATTAAAATTTATACAGCCGTGATAGCCTACCACCGTGGATTAGTCGAAGGATCACCTCTGTTTTCTCATCCTATCCTCAAGAGATTCTTGAGGGGACTATATAATCTTAACCCATCAATTAGACTGGTTATGCCCACATGGAGCCTTTCTGTAGTTCTGCAGGCCCTTATGAAGGCCCCCTTTGAACCTTTAGCGACGGTGGATCTGCAATTGGTTTCTTGGAAGACAGCGTTTCTTGTAGCTGTCACTTCAGCCCAGAGGGCCGGTGAACTTTGCGCTCTTCGAATAGACCCTCCTTATCTAAACTTACACAGAGAGAAGGTCGTTTTACACCTCGACCCGTCTTTTTTACCCAAAGTGTCTACACCTTTCCATACAGGACAAGACATTGTGCTGCCTGCTTTTTTCCCATCACTGTCGACCCCTTTGGAAAGATCGTTGCACTCACTTGATGTTCACCGTTGCTTAGCCTTCTACCGATCGTGGACGGAGTCTATTCGGCGATCCAATAGACTATTCATCAAATATTCTACTAGGGATCAGGGCGATCCAGTCACTCCACAGAGACTTTCTAAGTGGATAGTCCACACTATTGTCTTGTGCTATCAGTTAGCTAAGCTCGAACTGCCTTCAGTTCCCCGCGGCCATTCTACTAGAGCTGTTGCAACCTCGTCTGCGTTCGCAGTGGGGGTCCCGATTGATGACGTCTGCCGAGCTGCTACTTGGGCGAACCCTTGCACCTTCGCCAGGCACTACCGTCTCGATGTTCGAGCTCGACGGGACTGCTCCTTCGGTAGAGCTGTACTCTCTGTTCTTCACTGAGGACACCTTCCCTCCTCCTTGATGGTAAACTTGTTAATCTACCCATATGTGTGATGCACAGAGGCCACGACGAAGAAAAGCAGGTTGCTTACCTGTAACTGATGTTCTTCGAGTGGCCATCTGTGCAGTCACACAACCCACCCGCTGGCTCCGCTTGGTGTCGGTGAGTGGACGCATTGACAGCTCAGTGTCGATGAGAAGGCATCTTTGGTACCGACCATCCCCCATTTTTACGGTACCGACAAAAAACAAAAAAAAAAGATTTAAAATTATTAAGAGATCGTACGTTCGGTCGCAAAGACTGAACAAAATGGCGGACGCTCCGCTCTGTATAGGCCACAGGGGGGAGGGGAGCAGAGCTTCCCACCAAAAACCGTTAGCTACCAATCTTCCGGCCACAGGCACTGTGCAGGTGCAGTACCCATATGTGTGACTGCACAGATGGCCACTCGAAGAACATCAGTTACAGGTAAGCAACCTGCTTTTTCAAGATTAGTCAAAAAGAGAACTAAATGGGGCTGAATCGTTTCATTTTTTTGCAAAGCAAATGGCAGGAGCATTCGGTGGATTGGAATGGGATTGTGGGAAGTGTGCTCTGTACTGATCATACATTGGCTCAGTATGTCTGTACAAGGGTGAGCAACTTGTGGTCCTCTGGATGCTTTGAATGGCAGCTCCCCTCAGCACTGGCCAGCATAGCCAGCAGTCAGAAATGGTGCCAGTTGTCTGTAGTGCTCCCTGATAGGCAGCACCTGTTAAGAGTTTCAAGCAGGAGTTTTTCCCAGCCCTCCATGGAGAGCTTGTGAGTTCATGTTGGGACTTTCTGCATGCAAAGCCTGTTGGGTTTGTTAACCATCTCTCATTCTTTGAACTTACGAATGGGCTTACTTTGTCCCAAATAGAGGTCTTCTTGGTGCCACCTTCTGATGGCCACCATTTATTTTCCCAGAATTCCCAGGATGCCTCCTTGTTCCAGAACTTTCTGAGTGTGTCAGGAGTGAAGTGGTGTCCTCCTGTGGGCAGGTGGCAGCAAAACATGTTTTTGAAAACCCTGCCCACCAGTGAGTGTTAATGAGATGGATATGTAACAAATTACAAAATTTCCACACTCCTAAATAGTCATAAGAACAGCTTATGAAAATTGAGTTTTTTAAAAGTATCCTGATATCAGCAAACATGCCAATGACGGTTGGGTATCTAGGCACAATGCTAGCACTGTGAAGGCCTGAAGAGCATATTTTTGTCCCAGGGGTGTGTGCAGTGAATGGACTTCTCTATGTGGTTGGAGGAGATGATGGTTCCTGCAATTTGGCATCTGTAGAATACTACAACCCAGTCACTGATAAATGGACCTTATTACCAACCAATATGAGCACTGGAAGAAGTTATGCAGGTAAGTGGCAAATTGAGCCTGGAGGCAATCGAGTGATGGGCAGGGCAGTCCCTGTTGCCTAGATACTTGTGGGAGCTCTTGGCAGGGAGCCAGCGCTTTGGCCATGAACTCTCCAGTGGCCCATCTGAGTGGGGAAGCAAAGGCAGGTCAGCCATGGAACAAAGGGGACCAAGAGGTGGAACCCCTTGGCGCAATCCTCAGTAGTCAGTAACCCATTCCAGAGAAGGAGAAAACCGAGGCGCAACACAAATAGAGGGGCATTTGTCAGGGAATCACACAGAAGTACTGTTTTGTACACACATATTCTTGTTCCAGCAACAAATTCTGATCTATGGAGACTCATGACTCTGTGATGATGAGTTGGTGGGAAGAATCCACTCAACCATAATAGCCATGAAAATAATTAAAGTAAGACAGGAGATTCTCCATGCCATACAGAAAGGCAGTCTTTGGAGGAGAGGGACAAGTTCTGAAAGCATTTTTATATATATAAAAATAATATATATATATATATATATATATATATATATATATATATATATATATATAAAAATATATAATCTCCACCTTTCTCCCATTGTGGAACTCCAGATGGCCATATGGGATGTCCGGGTGGTCTCCCCCTAAGCTCAGGCTAGCCCCTGGGCTGCTTAGCTTCAACATAGTAGACATGTATCTTTATATGAGCAGAGCCTTCCACAACCCTCTCTCCATGTCTCTTAGAAAGCAAAGTCTGGGCATCCAAAATATACCCTTTTCCATATTTACAGAGCATCCCCAAAAGAGGGGTGTAATGTCTGAGTAACTACAACTGAGAAATCAGGGTGGTGCAGGGAGAGAGGAGATCAAGTGAAGTTTACTTTTGTGTAGAGATCTCTAGCTTTACACAGCAAGATTGGGGTGGGGGAGGAAAAATGGACCTATCAAAGAAGGAACTATTGTGTACTTTTTAGATCTAGAAAGATCCTTCCAAGCTGTGGTTGCTGCAGCCTCTTGCTCTGTCTGTCCTGATTTTACACACATGAGCTTTCAAAATACTTTACATACATGAAAATAACAAAAACTCATTTGCTGTGCTGGCATGCACCTTCCTCATCTTCCTCCCAAGGGGTGGGGGGAATCACTGTTTGTTGCTTAAAAAATGGACTGGGAGAACTGTAGGACTCTTTAAATTCTGCCTGCTGTGTAGTTGTTACAGGCAGAATTATGAACAACTCAAATCTTTGGATCTTGGGCATTCTCCTAAGTCTAGAAATTATTGACTGCACATGTGCTTTTCTCTTCCTTTGCAGGTGTAGCTGTGATCCATAAACCATTGTGACAGCAATTCATATGAAAGCAAAGATGACAAACTGTGTCTGTATAACTTGGTGGATTTTGGAAGATCCTGGTATCTTAACTGCCACTCTGTTGTTGCACTGCCAGCATGCCCAGCACATGCTAAGACCACCTAACTCTGCTCAGCAATAGCAGTGCATCAGTATGAAAACCCTGCTGTGAACGTGAAATAACGTGTCGGTTGAGTGGGGTTTTTTGGGTGCAATCCGCTGTTTTATGTACAGCTGGGACTAAGTTTGAAGTGAATTTCTCAAGAGAGGAAATGTTTCTTTATGGCATGTAAGAGGGAGAAACAATACTTTGGAATACTTCACTACTGAAGTTGCATACACACTATATGTGCTAGAAGGCATTTCCTGTAATTACACCTTTAGACAAATCTACTGAGACTGGAATTTTGCAATGCCCTTCAAAAGAACCTGGCCTACAAACAGGTCAGAGGAATACACTGGGAACTCTGCTCATACAGTGTATTGGCCCCATTTTGTGCACATACACTAGTTGGACTTTGTAACTGCGATTCAGGACACGGGAGGTATGCACTCTGTGACTTCCATCTTTTGCATAGAACTGCATTCACATACAGGATCAGATGAGCAGCTCCTTCTCTGGGGTGGAGGCATACTTCAACTACCCAAAGACTAACAACCCCATAGAAGCATAGTGTTCTGCAGGGCACTTCAGAATGAATTTCGCTCAAGGAAAGGGGAGTCTAGATACTGTGTCTCTTGTTTATTGCCAAACAATTCAGAAAATCCAAGCTTCACACACCTCTTTTAAGGGGACATTTAGGTCCTTGTAGTTGATTTGAAAGAATCCGCTCTGGTCACGTCTAATTCTCCTCCAACACTCATGGAATTCAGTCGTGGATTTAGAGTTCCAGCCCAGCTCTAAAAGCTCCATCAGGGTGTGGCGCGCAAAGATGATATTGCCAAGAATAATGGTTTTGAGAGAACTCTGGACAAGCCTATCTGAGCAAATGGGACTTCAGGATCACACACAGGATGGCTAGCAGTCTGTCTGGAAAAGTAATTGTAAATCCTGACCGAGTTGAGATTAGACTGGACTGGGTTCCACCTATACCTGCATATACCTCTCATGCATTTGGCCAAACACCATTCGTGGTCCAAGATGATATTTAAAACCTTTAAGTGTCTTAAATGCTTCCACCATATGATTGTTTAATTCCACCCATTTTTCTTAACTGTCCTTTTATTGTTCTCCATATTTTCATTATTATAGCTGGCTTAAAAATGTTACTTGATGTCTAAAACATATTGTCTAATTAGCAAAGAGAACTAAGTTAGTTTTGAACATAAGGAATTCCAAATCCAGCAGGGGGAGTGAGCTTAGATATCACGGCGAGGGCATGGCGGCGCAGGATAATTTGGATTCCCAGATCTGAGGTTGGAAACAGTTCGGTCCTGGTTCCCCACAGCAGCCAGCATGGAAGAAACTGCATTGACTGCCTCTTCAAGGTTAGAAAACAGAGACGGGGGTGGGGAGACAAAGAAGCAGGGAGTGGGGAAGGCTGGGACTCCTAAGATGCAAAATCAGCCATCTCACTGAATGCAGAGAATGAGCTGCAGCGGGGTGGGAATCACCTTTGCTGCTGCTCCTGCTCTGCATTGGATGCATGGAAGCCTCTGAATTCAGGGGCTTATTAGTATTGAGGGTGTAAGTGCTAGGAGCCTGCCCTAAGAAGCTTTAGGCATATCTAAAACCCTGTGGTTTCTTTTGTGTTCAAAACCATCATCAAACTTAAAGTAAATTTCCTCCTAGAAAATGATTAATGCAGCTTCCAGTGATTCCAGAGTATATAATGGAAACCAAAACTTTAGTGGAAAAAATGAATAGGAAAATATTCATTTTCTTCCTCCTTGGCCCCCGCATTGCATGGGTGTATTGGTGTTTTTAACATTAGAATACTTTATTTCTCACGCAAATAACTTTTCTATAATTTAACACAATTGTCAAATATCAATAGTGAAGCAGAAAATAAAATTGAGCTTGCATTTCAGTAAGTGTTAAGAAGGTAAGACTTAAGGGCTTTCATCCATTGTTAGATTTGAAAACAAAATGACAGTTTTCATAAAGTCTCTTCTGAGAATTTTGATACTTTTGGTACTCTGGCACAGATGCTGTACTATCAAAATACAGTTAAAGAACGCACGTGGCAAAATCATGATTGCTCTTTAAAGCAGATTCATGCAGATCATTGATTGTTGTCTGCTCGACATCTGTGTCTTTTGAAAAAGAGAAATATAGCCATTTCTATATGTAGTTTCTCCTTTATGATTTCTGCCATGGAATCATAGAACAGTAGAGTTGGAAGAGGCCAGAAGGCCATCAAGTCCAGCCCCCTGCTGACCCCAGGACACCAACTTAACCATCCCTCTCAGGTGGCTGTCCAGTTGCATCTCAAATGCCTCTAGTGCGGGAGAGTCCACAACCTCCCAGGGTAATAGGTTCCATTGTTGTACTGCTCTGACAGTGAAGAAATTCTTCCTGGTGTCTAGTATAAATCTGATGTATTTTAACTTCAGTCTGTTATTCCGTGCCCTGCACTCTGGACTGGACAAGAAGAGATCTTGTCCTTCCTTTTTGTGACAGCCTTTCGAGTACTTGTACAGTACTATTGTATCTTCCCTCAGGCTTCTCTTCTCGAGGCTAAACATGCCCGGTTCATTCACTCTCTCCTCATAGGGCTTGGCTTCCAGTCCCTGGATCCTCCTCGTTGCCCTCCTCCGAACCCTTTCCAGCTTGCCTTCATCTTTCTTCAACTGTGGTGCTCAGAACTGGACACTGTACTCCTGATGAACCTAAGGAGGGCTGACTAAGTAGTACTTCATGTGATCTGGAAGTGATACATCTATTTCTGCATCCCAAAATAGCATTTGTCCTTTTTGCAGCCACATCACATTGTTGACTCATCTTCAACTTGTGATCTGCAACAATTCCAAGATCCTTCTCCCTCGCAGTGCTGTTGAGCCAAGTATTGCCCATTTTGCCATGATACATTAGGTTTTTTCCCCTTGGTGCAGAACTAGGCACTTGTCCCTATTGAATTACATTCTGTTGCTTTCAGCCCAGCTCTCCACCCTATCAAGATTACCTGGAATCTTCTTTTGGTATCCCACCCAGTTTTGTGTCATCGGCAAATATGATAATATGTAATTCCCTGCATGTCCTCTTCTAAACCCAGCCTTAAAAATACTGAAGAGCACTGGGCCCAGAACGGAACTCTGTGGTACCTCCCGTTACCTCCTCCCAGTTTGAGAAGGTGCCATTGAGGAGCACTCTTTGAGTTTGATTTTGCAGCCAACTGTGAATCCATCTGATCATTGTTCCACCTAGCCCACCTTTACCTAGTTTGCTAATCAGGAGACCATGGAGAACTTTGTCAAAAATGTTGCTAAAGTCAAGATATACTATGTTCACAGCATTCTCACAGTCCATCAGGGAGGTTACCCAGTTCAGAAAATGAAATCAGATTAGTCTGTCAGTATTTGTTCTTGAGACATCCATGTTGGCTTCTAGTAATCACTGCATTAAATGCAAGGTGTTTGCAGAGTGACTGCTTTAGGATCTGCTCCAGAATTTCCCCGCGGATTGATGTTAGACTGAGTGGTCTGTAACTCACATGTTCTTCTTTTCCGTTTCTTGAGGATAGGGGTAACAGTAACCCTTCCCCAGTTATCTGGCACTTCTCCTGTCCTCCATGAGTTCTCAGAGTTAATAGACAGTGGTTCTGAGAGTTCTGCCAGCTCCTTTATGATTCTTGGGTAGAGCTCATTGTGTCCTGGAGATCTGAACTCATTTAGCCCAATTAGGTAATACTTGACCATTTGCCTATCAGTTTTGAGCTGCCATCCTGCTCCTTCAGCTTGTACTTCCCCTTCATCAGGGAGGTCATAGATTTTTGTTTGGGAGAAGACTGAGCCAAAATAGGAATGGAGCACTTCCGTATTTTCTCTGTCACCTGTTTTCATTTTGCCATCCACATTGAGTAGTTGACCCCCTACCCCATTTCTTTCATTTATCTTTTACTTTAGACATATCTGAAGAAGGCTTTTTGTTGCTTTTAGCATCCCTCTCCAGTCTCAGTTCATTCCTAGCTTTAGTCTTCTTGATGCCATCTCTGCAATTCCATCCTACCTGTGTTCTTCCTTTGCAGCCTGGCCTTCCTTCCACTTCCCATACATGTCCTTTTTGTTTTCAGATCATCTCAAAGCCACATGGACTTCTGTGGTCTTTTACTCTTTTTCTGCGTTGGAATTGTGCCTTTGGAATTTCCTTTTTTTTTTTTAATTCCCATTGGGCTTGGACTCCTTTTCTCATTAGAATCACTTGCCATGGGAGTTTACTTATCATTGTTGTGAGTTTATTAAAATTGCTTTTCTTGTAATCTGGGGAACATGTTTGACTATATTTGGCTTTTGCTTCCTTTAGAATCAAGAGCTGAAGTATGGGATGCTCACTTTCCCCCAGAGTCCCTGTTGCCACCATTAGGTCTGCCCTGTTGGTTACAATCAAGTCAAGGACAGCCTTTCCTCTTGTTCCTTCTTCCACTTTCTGTTGGAAGCGGTTATCAGTAATACATGTTAGGAATCTCTTCGAGGGGCCACGTTTGGCAGAATTTATCTCCTAACAGGTATCAGAGCAACTGAAGTCCCCCTTAATAAGAACATCATGAAACACTGGCAATTTGCTTTTCAAAAGTTTCATCCTTGTCTTCTCCATGACTCGGTGGGTGGTAATAGACTCCACTACTGTATTCCTTTTCTTCCTTGTTCCAATATATTAATTCAAATACTCTTGATGGGGCTTCCAAGCTCATGCATCTGTATTTCTGTGCAGAGATATGTATGTTTAGAATATAGTGCAGTTCTGCCTCTCTTTCTGCTCCTTCTGTTCTTCTTGAACAATTTATATGATTCACTTGTTGAATTCCAGTCATGGGAGTCATCCCACCAAGTTTCAGGTATACCTATCAGGTCATATTCACCCTCCTGTATTAAGAGTTCAAGCTCATGCTGTTTGTTTCTGTACTCCTGGCATTAGTATATAGACATCGAAGACCAAGTGCTTTATACTCTAGCTTTCTTCCTATATTTTTTAGAAGACTATTATTGGGCACTGTTAGAGCTGCTCTCTCTGTTGTGGTGCATAAGCCTTTGTCTGTTGTTACCCCCAGGTGTACTTCTCCCTTCCCTGTGGGATTCAGTTTAAAGCCAAGAACAACTTGCTTCCAGTGTTAGGGTGGGGAAACCTTTCATAAAGACCTGTTTATGGGTTATGCGTTCTGTATGGGGAATCCTGCCCTACAGCATTCAGCCTCCGGTGTCTATGTTTGAGTGCAATGCTTATACAATATGCTGGCTTGATACGAATACTGCTCCTGTATGGAATATCTGTGCTCCACTGCTAGGTTGTTTGCTGTATGGAATATCTCTGCTCCACTGCTAGGTTGTATGGAAGTAGTGTGAAGTTGTTCTGCAGGTTGGCAGCCAACCACATCTGGTGTTGCACAAATCTACTTCCATTCAGACAATAGGACTTCCTCTCTCACTCTTTCCCCTGTGCCCCTTTACTCCCGAAATCTCCCAATCTCCAGCAGAAGATTTTGTGCAGCCAACAGTGTCTACTGGTACTGGTGGGTGGAAATTATTGGATTTGGCCCAGTAATTTTTAGGGTTGAGATGAAATCCTAATAATTACTTTGGCGTAAGCCCAGTGGACTGACTTTGGAGTAGAGTTGTGTAGGATTTCACTTGATTTCTAAGAGATGTGGCTTGTTCAGCAGGTTGAAGATGCTTCCAGTTACCTCCATGTAGAGAATACAATATGACTACTCAATACCATTTAAATGCAATGATGCTACCACCCCTTGTTATTAATGGAAGTATCACTTAAGCACTAAGGAGACATCCTCACCTCATTTGATTATTCAGATCTTGTCACAGATGCACATACACTGAGAATGAATAGATTTTGTCCCCTTCACCACCAAAAGTGTGTGTCACTCATATTTTATAACTGACAGCCAGTACATTTTTGAGCTAATTGGCCTAGCTGTATTCTAGAATGGCCCCTATATTTCCAAGGCCGTATAGAGTACTAGCAGTTCATAAACAGTCAGGACATGTATAAATGGCTTTGGCACAGCCAAGAGCCTCATACCTAGCAAATGGTATATGTCACTCCTTCCATGTGTAAACTTGCAGGGTTAATGCAAGTCAAATGACCTCATTTTCCA